GGAGAAGGATTTATAGTAGCGGCAAGCTTCGAAGTTTAGATACTTAAGAAGAAAGAGACCTATACCAAGGTACTAATTCCGAATCAAAGAGGAATCTAGATACTACCGTTAAAATAGATCTTTACCTATAAATTTAATACAAATAGATTTCTTAAGAAGTTTAAAGCGAGAATCTACGTTAGAGGTAATCTTTAATAGATATCGATAGAAGAGAAAAAGGTAGCTACCTTAGCTATTAAAATAGCGAGAGTAATCTTTACCTTAGTAGTAGCCTTTAATCTCGATATAATATAGAGAGACGTAGTTAATATATTCCTAAACTTAGTACTCTAAAGTAAGGTTTATACTAAGTGCCTATAAGGATTCGAAGTATAAGGTTAATACTAGCTACTCTATAGAGCTCTCTATAGCTTACGAATATCACTAAGATTGTAGTAGTAAGAAGTAATAAGGATACTAATAAAACTAGGCCTTACCCCGGTACTAGAAGATCCGTATATCTTTATTAAGAATAGTATTATCGTCTTCTTCTATATAGACGATATTATCGTTATAAATTATCTAAAATATACTAAGTAGGTAGCTAAGCTAGATAACGATATTAAGAAGCAATAGGAATTATAAGAACTAGAAGCAAACTAGTTCTTAAATATCCGTATTATTAGAGATAGAGATTAGATAAAACTCTAGCTATACTAAGATAGTTATATTAAAAGTATAGTAGCTAAGTATAGCTTAATCACTACTAGGAAAGTAGGGTCCTTAATAAGCATAGGGACTAAACCCCTTCTTCTATACGATAGAGTGGTATTACTAAGCTAGATTTATAGTTTCTAAGCTAAGGTTAGATCTACTTAGTATACTACTACTATCTCCCGGCTAGATATAGCAAAAGCTATAGCTAAACTAGCTAAATTTCTAACGAACCCTAGTCCGAAGTATATCGATACTATCGATCGAGTAATTCAATATCTCTATAAAACTAGGTTCTAGGCTATCGAGTATAGTATTAGACGATAAAGATCGGATAGAAAGACGTCCTTTCTATAAGACTAAGATAAAAACCTCGGTTTAGATAAAATAAAGGGTCTCTAGTTTACTATAAAGTCAGTTAAATTTATAAGCGATACTTTATTCGGAGATAATAAAGATAGGAAGAGTTCGGAAGGTTATATCTATAAGTTATATAGCGGTCCAATCGATTAGAAAGTATCGAAGCAAAAGACGGTAACAACGTCGACAACTAAGGTAGAGCTTCTTACTCTAGCAGAAGCCGGAAAAACCGTCTAATAGTAGCGTAGAGTCCTTAAAGTACTTAGCTTCCAACTAGATCATCCCTTATCTATTATATACGACAATCAGCAGATAGTCGATCGACGATATATACAAAGCTACGGCATATAGATATCAATCGATCCTAGATAAAGTAGGAAGTTAGTGTAGGCAGAGTCAATATAGACTAGGTTCTAACTACAGCGATGCCTATAGATAGACTTACAAAGGCGCTTCCAAGACAGAAGCAGCATCTCTTCCGAGAGATGATTAGAATGAGAGAAATCAGGCATCTGATTCATCCAGAAGAAGTAGAAAAGAAGTGAAGAAAATGAAGGATTTGGCAGCTCTTGAAAGCCAGGAAAATGTAGGCTTTAAGAGCTAGGGGGTGTGTCAAATTGCAAGGTTGCATACATGGGATGATACAGATTATGTAATCTAGCTTAGTCATAAACCGCACAGAAACAGCAGTTTCTATTATGTAGAAAATGCAGAGTTCTCCATATCAGCCCTGAGGTCCATACATTTCAATACGTCAGATTTCTGTCAGGTTATTCTCTTACGATTTGCAGGTGTCAAAAATGAAGCCTTTCATCTGCATACAAAATGAGCTATTATAGTATCAATAAATTTACCATACACTGTATAGAGTGGTGTAAAAAGCGGTGCTAAATAAGGCACCCAGGCATCAACTCTGTACGGTCCTGGTCCTTGGAATCATTGTGACGGAGTTGGAAGGCGGTCCGATAAAGGCAGTATAGTGGGATATTCATCAAGAGCAACCCACTCACTTCCTAGATATTCTCTCAACAAGCATCATCATCCAATGAATATCAGTTAGGCCCTCGGGCCCTTTTATTATTTTGTCCTTACATCGTGTGTGCTGTACTAGAACCAAAAATGCGCCACAAATACCGATTAGCGCGCGCCATCTCGGACGAGATTTAATCTGCAATAAGATATGTGTCGATCTGCCCATTTCTTGACCCACACAGGCGTGAAGTGGAGATGTCTTTTCTGTTTTAGTTTTTCTTCAGCTCCGGCGAACTCAGCCCCCTCCTGCAGCGGATCATATTCTGGAAAGGAACCCCCCAACGTGGAATAAACTACCCACTCCTCCATGTGGTTTTGTATGGTAAATCAGGTGAACTCGGAATACCCGATAACATGCCAATACTGGCTGGCCCCTGAGGAAGTCGATACAGATCTCCCGTTTGTGTGGAAAGAGATGGAAGATACCGAAATTCACACTTGGTGGCCCATGTACGTACATTTTTGCCCGTGGTATGGGCAAATTGCTAACATACTCAGTTATGTCGTTTACGGTCAGAAGCCGTGACCTTATCTTGATTATTATTTGGATGAGGGCACTGAGATGAACACAAGCCAAGTCAGTGAATAAAGACATTACTCAATAAATTCAAACCCCATAACCTGAGCTTCATTCCTATGATCTATCTGAAATATCTTCTGGGGTTATGGAAATTTGGCCTGGAAAAATTTACTCGCTGTGAGCAAAGCATGCTGCTCTTTGGGTCGGCCCAATGCCTCCGCGGTAATCTTTTTTAGTTCAGCAGCAGTGCTGTTCTCGCTGGGCTCATCACTGAAGTAGCGACCCCCAGTGTTCTGAGTGAAACCAAACATGAGCTTGACATCCTCCAACTCAGGAATCCCATGGGTGTCAAATGCTTCCCACGTGGGTAGGATTGGGACGAATCGAGACCTCTTTCTAGTAACTTGAAGAAAATTGTATCAGATTAGCTTATTAAAGCATAAAGACTATGCGGGGATTGTAAGGAGCATACCAGCTTCGAAATTGGCTGTCACCCCGTCAAACCCAAGGATCTCGCTCGCTCCGTGCAGGACACGGCCGTTCCAGCGAGTCGGGTCCAGGAAAACACCGTGAATGATATCTCCATAATCTTCACTGATGCTCAGGAAAGGGACCTTGTTGTCTCCACCCCAGTTTGGCACACGGAAGGTCAAAAATCCCTCGTCGTCAGGGAAGTGTGGGAATCCTCCAAAGACTGGAGCCACCTCCTTGACAAGGAAATTCTCGAAATACCACGCGGGGTTAACAACAACAAGTGACTGGAACTTGCCCAGCTCTCTGGCGTATTGTTCCACCCGATACTTCACTATGGGAAGTTAGAGTGAAGAGCGTTGTAGGGGGCTGCCATCCAACTTACTGTCCATTGCCTTCATGCTGACTTTACCTCCAGTCATCTGAGTGCATGGGGGACCGCCACTGTAGACCAGATCCCGAACACCCGCTTCGACTGCGGCATTGACAATTGCCTTGCCCAAATCGAACTCAGTTGGGCTATTAGGATCTTTCCATGCCTTATCGTCCGAGTTGATGTTGATATATAACCCCGACGCACCTTTCAAGGCAGTCACCATCTCTTGGTGGTTGAAGCCGCTTGCTTCAACCACTTCGGCTCCAGCCGAGGCCAATGCCTTACCAGCCTCAGAGCTAGCATTGCGCGTGATGGCACGAACCTTGAAGTGAGTGTTCTGAAGCAAGGAACGGGCCACGGCACCACCTTGGTTACCGGTGGCACCGATGACAGCAATAGAAGGATTCATTATTTGAGGAAGAGCTTAAGCTCTACGAAAACACTGTAGGTATGCAAAGGGCCAAAGGCGATATCCGAATATTGGAAATAGTGAACAGGCACTGGAAAGTAAACGGACTTGGTGACCGAATCTTGAAACAGCCTGTCTGTTCTCTTATGAAATACGTTATTGGAAAAGATGTTCCCACCTGTTCCTTCAACCTGGAGCGGTGTGACATTTGGTTGGAGCTAGGTAATACCCGATTTTCTGGTGTCGATGTTCAGATATTCAGGATCACACGCAACTATCAGCTCCACAAAAAGGTTTACCCATACGCTTGGACATGATTGTGACATTACATACTATGTATGTAATATATTGCGTACAGGCGTAACCGAGAACGATACATAGTACTCCGTATGTTTTCATTTTCACTCATTGATGAACGAGGTTAGATAAACAATCCGGTTCAATACATGCAATGCCTGATATCCTTTCCTTGAAGTTCACGTGATCCTCCAATGTACTCCGTATACCTGGGTACAATGTGACCCCTAAAGTAACTAACTAGTTATTGACTGAAGTATCGTCCTTTTCAACTCCTATTGTCCCAATTTTAAGGAGCCTTAAGGCCCACTAAAAGTTCCTTGTGGATTGTAATAGTCTGATATGGACATGCGTGCTGAGACTTACAGAAAACTCTATGAAGAAGCATGCAGCAGGAATGCCCCCCCCACTCTTTCGGTGATCTCCATCTTGGATTTATCATTCTCGTGGCTACCTGAGTCTTGCGATCGCTTAGTCCTTTCGGTTAGGGGCTAAAAGTTACCTGTGGATCCTGTTCGATGTTGATCGATCTGTATCTGTACGAATAACAACACTAAATCCATTACGTATGGAGCCCCCATGCACTCACTGTGTACAACATAATCGCCTTGATAAACTGTTTAGGGCATTTCAAGCTCCATTTACGATTTGCCATAGCTGAGACGAGAAGAATTTTTCAGCCGTGGCTGCTGTCCAAAGCTCTGTTCCCGATTGTCAAGGGGTTGAGTTCCTCTCATATCTTAATTCTTCCTTGAAAACCCTAATTCCAGGTTTAACTATAAAATGGCCTCTTCCTTCTATATAATTTTCATTATCATCTTCCTTCTTCTTTCTTTTCCAAAATGCCTTCCATTGCCGTCAATCCTGGGGAGGAATACGACATCACGGTTGGCCGTAACCAAGGTCTTGCTCAACTTTTCTACAACGAAGTCCAACGGAATCCTTCCTCTCTCGCCATCGTTGACAACCATGTCTCCATCACCTACGAACAAGTACACTTCGTAGCCTCTCAATTAGCCCAGAAGTTATCCGAACAATCTTTGAACATACAAGAGCCTGTCGGAATCATCGTGAAACATGGATTCTCTGATATCATCGCCCAAATGGCCGTCCTATATGCCGGCGGCACCTGTGCCCCAATGGACCCAACCTTGCCAGACCAACAAATCCAAGGCCGGTTACAACGGCTAAACGCAAAACACATTCTGGTGGATTCGGATAACTTGAAACGGGATCTTCCGTTCTCGCAATTCATGGTGGATGAACCAGACTTGCTGAGTAGCAAAGGATCATGGGCCGTCGGCACATATCCCCTTGCCACTGATCTGTCTCACTGCACCCATCTTATCCACACCTCCGGCACAACAAGCGAACCCAAGGCCGTACAGATTGCCGCTCGGTCAATCCTGCAGGTGGTGTTCCATGCCCCCTTCGAGCCAGTTCATGAAACTGACGTTGTTGCCCATGTCAACAACAGCAGTTTCGATGTGTCCCTGTTCGATATCTGGGCGCCTTTGCTTCGTGGCGCGCAAATCGCGGTCCTGCACAAAAAAGTCCTCCTTGATCCTCCTCTGATGGCCGAACACATTGAGCGTATGGGCATTACCGTTATGGCCACCACCACGGCGTTGCTCAACCTCGCCGCTTCCACTTACCCTCGTTCTTTTGCCAAACTACGTATCTGCTTCATTGGAGGCGAGGCCGCCAACGTGGCTGCCTTAGAGATTATCCTCAAACAAGGGCCCCCGGAAATTCTCATCAACGCATACGGCCCGACAGAATGTTGCATATTCTGTCTAGCTCACCGCGTGACCTACAAAGATGTTCAAGATAAGTCCGTAAGCATTGGTATGCCTATCGGTCGTACCGTTGCTTATATTGCCGACGAATCTGGGAAAGAAAGCAGGGAGGGAGAGCTCTGGATCGGAGGTGCCGGCGTCTCGCCAGGATACGTCAATCAGGAGGAAAAGAACGCCCAGTCCTTCACGACGGTTGAGGGGTTGGTCACTGCCTCTGGTAAGCCTATGCGGCTGTATCGTACTGGAGATATTGTCCGCCGCCGCTCGGATGGTCAGATCGACTATGTCGGCCGCTCTGACCACCAGGTGAAGGTCCGGGGATTTCGAATCGAACTCGAGGCCGTTGAAACTGGCTTGATAAACACTGGACTTGTTTCAGATGCAGTGGCAATGAAAATTGAGGTACCGCAGGAAGGTGCTGGCTCAATGCTAGTGGCCTATGCAACACCCGTGGATCCACACCACCCACCTGGTGTTGCGAGTGTATTGGACATGCTGAAGAACTCCCTGCCAAACTATATGATCCCGCATCTGGAGATAATATCGAACATGCCTTTGAACAATCATGCCAAGGTGGATCGAAAGCACTTGACGCATATCTTCTGTCAGCGGTGGCAGTCTCAGAATTCTGCACTCAACAACCTTTGCAGAGACACCCGCTCAATACTAGCCAACCTCTGGGCCAACATCCTGGCCTCGCCCAAGCCTTCTTATCGGGACGATGACGACTTCTTCAACCTTGGTGGTACCTCGCTGCAGGCCTCTCTGCTCATCAGCCACATCCGTCGCACCTTCGACACAGAAGTCTCTCTCCTGACACTGTACGACAACTCCAGCCTTGGGGCTCTCACAGCCACCATCGAAGAGCATCGAGGTGGTAAGTTTGAGACAGTGCGCAATGAGAGTGAGATCTGGGTGGCCGATACCAAGTTAGCAGACGACTTGCCCATGCCAAGCGGAACCCCAGTGGACTGGTGCCGCGATGTCGAAGGCCGTATCTTTTTTACTGGCGCGACAGGCTTCGTTGGAGCATTTATGTTGGCAGACCTTTTGCGCATGCCGCACGTTCACCAGATTGGCTGCCTCGTCCGTGCGAAATCCGCAGCCGTGGGCAAAGAGCGTCTCCGCACAGCCATGGCTAAGTATGACCTTTGGGAAGATCGATTTGCAGACAAGCTTCTCGCATTCCCGGGTCTTCTAGAAGACAAATATCTCGGACTAGGTCTTGCTCGGTTCAAAGAACTTGCCAACTGGGCTAGCGTGGTCTTCCATCTCGGCGCTCGCGTCAACTATACCCAGCCTTACTCCCTACACCGCCCGGCAAACACACTCGGCACGGTAAACGTGGTACGCTTCGCGTCCGCCGGCCGAACTAAGGCTGTGCACTACGTCTCTAGCATCTCGTGCTTTGGTCCCACGGGTTTTGTGACCGGCGCCACGACCGTCGAGGAAGACGAGTCTCTCATGCCTCACCTAGAGGCCCTGCCTTATGACCACGGCTACGCTCAAAGCCAATGGGTAGCAGAACAGCTTCTCCGGCGTCTGATGGATCGCGGGTTCCCGATTGCTGTCTACCGCCCAGGCTTTATCACTGGCCACAGTCAGACCGGTGCCTGCAATCCAGATGATTTCTTTAGTCGGCTGATTCTTGCATGTCGCACTATGGGTTGCTACCCTGCCCTACCAAACCAGCGGAAAGAATTCGTGCCGGTAGACTATGTCAACTCGACAATCTTGCATGCTGCTTCCTCCTCTGATTCGCTTGGGCACGCCTTCCACATTGTTCCGCCCAGTCGTGCGGTTTCTATTGACATGGACGACTCGATGGATCTCATTGGCGACCTTGATGGCGCCCCGATCAAGCGTGTCTCTTACCAGGAGTGGATTGATAAGCTGGCTGCCAACCCACCTAGGCGGCTCCAGCCCTTACAGCCTATGCTGGCTGAAAAGGTGCAAGATGGAATGACGCGGTGGGAACTGTATGAGAATATGCCCATTTACCAGACCATCAATACTATGAAGGCACTCGAGAGCTACATTGGTGGTTTAGAGTTCCCTGCTCTCGACAAGGGTTTGATGAAGAGATATATGGACTATCTCAATGAACATGACTCGTGAATTTAGGTGGGAGTTCTTGGATAAAATAATGCCTTTTTGTTATTTCCGACAGTACTGTTTGTTCTCTATCTTTCTAGGATTGATAAATAATATCAGGAGCAGTAGTTTTGCCCAGGCCAGTCCCAGATCGCCCTCTTTGCCGAAGCCTTTGCGTGCATCCATTGTAAAGAGTTTATAATGGAAAATTCTTATTGCGAGTTTTCTGTTGAACAGCAGGCATATATCCCTTGCGAGGAGAGCGACTATAAATGTCTTACACAGCATGGCGCAATTGTAACTGGTGTTGCTTGGCAGAAGAACGCTGGATCCTTTCGGTGGCCCAATTCCTGTGTATTCTAGCTCTAAAGTTGCGATCACCAAGATGGAGATCCTTTTCTTCAGGATATTGGGTCATAATCCACTCTGTATCGACCGAGTGGGCAAATAAGACTGTATGTAAGTGCTGTATGATCTTCGGTGAAGAGACAGATAGACCTCATGTTCGTGCCGCCCATATGAGATAGAGTGGAATTCCTATCTGATTAACAAAAATATCTGCCTAATAAGGAGCATACGGCCTACGAATTATCGATGCCACTAATGCCGCTAGAGAAAAAATTTCTGATTCATCAAGTCCCTTTAGCTTATGGAGACCTTGTCGATTGCCAACTAACGCTACGAGCGGAGGAATAAGAGAATTGAACCCTTAAGCGCAGCTGACAAGTCAGATTATAACATGCCGAAAAGTACGTATTTCCATACGGTATACATTTCATCAACTCATCAAGACGAAGTGTCGGATCACTGATTCACAGGATATCCGTATGCACTAGTACTGAGGGAACCAATTAAGTGGATATCATATTTTACCTTAGAATATATCAAAAACCCACCATTCAATAGAAAATGTGTCCTTTGGTTAATACCACATAATTATGTATCCACTCACTATTTGGCCTAATGCAGGAAGAGGTGGATAGGTAGTATAGTTAGTTATAGCGCGTTCAGGGTTACTTTGACGGGATTGGTGCCTCGATGCCTATCTTTGGCTGGTTATTGACCGCTCCTTACACCGCCCTGTATAATGAATGTACTGTAAATCATTCTACGACGGTGTAATGCCTGAATTAAGCCTTGTTTTAGACCGCCTCCAGGCCTGTAACCAACTCGGCATGGAATAACTAGGCGCCGTTAACCCATAAAAATGAAGCTTTGATCCCCATACAAAGTGAGATATCTCCACTGACACTTGTAAACCACCAAAAACATGGAGATATCTGAATTTATTTGCAACCAGTCTAAGAATGTCGAGATATCTGCATTTGTATGCTGATGGAAAGTTGTAACCGCCAGCAAAATCAGGCTAATTTTGTATTGGAAGTGTCATGGTAATTCAGGTATTTTAATTCTTCTGCCGGTCTTAATTCAGGCCGCCAGGCCAAAGATAGGCATCAGGCATCAATATTTACCGGTTTTGGCAGCTGGCACCTATACCGCTACGTATACCTGAATTACAGTTACAGAGCCCTTATTAAGCAAAGTACCACCCGTAGCAGTCAAAAAAATGAAGCTTTTGCACACCATACAAATCACTGCATCTCCATATTTCTAGGCGGTTGTAAGTCCAAAAGTGTTGCAAAAGCTTCATTTTTGTAGGTATATTAGGCACAATAGTTATTCCACACTGAATGGGTTACAATACACTGTATAATGAGGCCTGAAAGCGGTCTAGACCTCCGCAATGGGCCGAGTTGGTCTAGGACCTTAGACCCATAAACCAACCAGCAGTGGGCTATGGGCCCTACCTTCAAAGATCAACTAAGCCTATAGCCCATTAGTGGGGGCCTATGAGGCCCCTAACAAAGACCATTTCTATACATAAATCCCGTCTTAGCGCTTATAAACCTACTGAATAATGCCTATTTTTTACGTATGTTCTAGTCTATAAGCTTACTTAGAAGATCTCGGCCCGCTAGCCCTAGTCTAGCCTAATACGGGGGTTCGATAGCTGATAGATTATCAATAACTATATAGATATATATATTTCATATAGATAGAAGTAGGTGTATCTTTAATGCGGGCTAAACTTTAAAAACTTTAAATACCACTTTAAAGTTATTATATAAATACCTTCTTCCCGAGGTGGTCTTCTTTTAATTACTCTTATTAATCTTATTGATTTCATAAATCTTATCTATGGTCAATTCTACCAATTGATAGACTTAATTCCTATAAAGACTCGGTCAACTTGGGTCTTAGGCGGTAATTTAAATACTTAAAAATACTAGAAGAATCTATGTATATTACTTATGAATCTGCCAATAATTGGCATTTTTGTATTTTTTGAGGCCTATTAGGCCCCTATAAAAGCCTAGTGGGCGTTTATCCTAGGCCCAAGGCCTATCGATGGGCCTAAGGACTAGCCCAAAGACCAGCCTATTTGCGGGTTGGTCCGGGTTGGGCTATGGGCTTTATGGGCCGGTGTGGAGGTCTATAAACCAGGCCAACAAAAAGCACATCAATCATAATTGCTTCACAACCCATGTCCGTTTTGTGGGAATGCGAGGTATGTTTGTTTAATTGGCCGTAGACGGAGTTTTGCAGACTATTAAAGTAGGATGAAGTTGAGAGATTGGCCACAAGTGATCAGTGTATGCGCACACTGGAAGTGAGCCCGGTCGCCTATGTGACATTGACCCATTTGTCAAATTTCCTGCCCACCTGGAGGCTCTTCTTGTCAATGAATTTCGACCACAGATGAGCCACCACGAACATGATGACAGTACAAGTGAGAATGGCGCCCCACCAAGCTGGCCAAAACGCTAAAGGACGATTCATGGCTTCTTCAGTTCCAGGGTAAGGTTCATGTGTGATAAAATACCACATAGCATCTCGGGTTGGTATTTTTATACTGTACCAGATGTTCAGGTGCAGCAGGTAAACTGCAAAAGAAACCTTACCCAGGTATTGTGCTGGTCTGGTATTCAGTGCATATTGAAGGAAGGAGGATCGGCCGATAGCATAAACAACAAGCAAAGCACCCAGAGTTCTCCAGCATCTAGTCATGAATTCGGCGTCATCCCAGTACCCAGGCTGGATATAGAGCAACCACCGATGCTCGATTGTCAATTCCCGTTCGTTACCGATGCACATAAGGTAGACCCCAAATATGAAACAGCAGCTGGTGTAAAACATGCGAAAATAGGGCGATGAAATAAAGACTTTCCATGCTAATGGAATGTCGAGCTTCTTGACCTGGTCGTCACAAGGTAGATGAATTTCGCCGTTTGAGCTGGGGCTTTCCAAGGCGACATGTCGTTCTGCGAGGAAAAGGCCCCCAATGAATGCGAAAAGATCCCACTGTCCGACATAGAACCAGTATGCAGCGATGATAATCAAGGTGAAACGTCTGGTACTATCTCTCCAAAATGCCATGGTCAATATTGTGAAATAAACCATGCAGGAGCCGCGCCACTCGAGTGGCATAGTCCAAAGTTGTGTGGTGAAATTCATAAAATCCGGTCGATCGGTGTTGGTATTTATTTCCACTCCGTGATTGCTAATATCCAGAGAGTGGATTACGCACCAAACAACGTACTTGACATGTAACAATGGGGATGAGTGTGGCCTCAGCCCGGCGTAATAGTCATTGGATAGAGTAGGTTCGAATCGGAATAGTCCCAAGAAAAAGATCAATTGCGTGATAATGTAAACGAGTGTGGATGGTAGGTAGATTCGAAAAGGTCGGCGAGTAGCTGTTGATGATAGACGACGAAAAAATGGAATGCTGGTGGCACTGCCATCACGAGATCTTAAAAGAGGAAGCGAAATGGCGTACCCGGAAATGACGAAAAATAGAGAAACCATCGAAGCCCCTTTGAAAAGGAGGTTTATGGGTGGAATTTGCAGGAAGTGACGATTCTCTTCCGGCGGGTCATTCCAATAGGAACGGTATAGAATGCCACGGAGTTTTGTAGGTTCAAAATTTGTTGCATGGCAAATTACCACCCCAATGGATGCGAGGCCTCGGAGACCATCTAGCCATGTTGTGCGCTCCATTCCTTAGGAGGTGCTGGGCTCTTGTCTCAGTGTGTGGGTGAACCCAGACTCAGGGGGCTCGACGGTGCTAGATGTGCAGGGCGGTTAGGGTTATATATTTTACTATATACTACAAGTTGAGACAGGTTAGACAGGTGCCCACTTTTCCTTTCCCGTTTCAAAAAATATGTATCCACAACCGGAACTTGAAGCACGATGCTTTTCTGTTTTGTTATTGTCGAGATCAATATGTGCTTACCGCAAGGGTGAAATGGGCGCTATTCGAAGCCCGACGTACTCGACCCACTTTCTCTGCGGTTTTACGATCCCAATCGTTGATGTTGTAGATATTTTGCCAAGTAGTTAACAAGTTAACAATTCAGAAATACAATTTGGTCCAATTTATTGTATACTCTTGAAATTCCGTGTAGCAGGTCTGGAGAAAGAGGGGTGGCTGGAAAGGAAATTATTACTCAGGTCCCCCGGTATGCACAATGAACTATTTGATGCGGTGTAGCCATCTCTGCAGGGATTTTTTGTAGATCTTGCTTTTTCTGTTGTGCAACGATCCAGATGTCTGTTTTGTATAGTATTGGGGGTATTCTTGGAATCCTGAAAGCAGCTCTGTGACGCGCTAGAAGTACTTAGTAACACAAGCACTGAAGATATTCCCTTCTCATAGGCGCTTTTCAGATAGTTGATCTTCAGTCAATCGATTGCAGCATAATCCAATTGACTTTCTTAAATACTGGCAAATGTCAATAAATATTCAGAAAACCGATATCTTGTTGCATTATGTGTAAGATGCTTGTATCATCTACCTAGTGTCGTGGGGAAGAGAGGCCGCCCGTATGTGACATACTAATACGATACATATGATATGTCACGACCATCGTATGTTATGGTGACCGTAGTACTAGTTTAGAATACACATTCCTACACCTCTGACCTACTCCCCCTAGGACGGGATCCCATTGCTACGCTAGCTATTGTTGGTGTTGTCTTGTTGGTTGTGCAGCTCAATCGGCCCGTGCACTTTGACGGCACAGCACAACGCTCCCTTCCTCGCTAGGTATTTTGTGAGCCACCACCTTGTTTTACAGATATAGCCTCGGATCCTACCATCCTACCATCATGCTTGACTAGTCGGTATCAGGATGACAGGACAACATGAGAGGCTAGTGTCGACATTTTATGACTTGGGTATCCCGAACTAGTCCGTAGGGAGACTGTCGACGCTGAATCTACCTGACCTTATAGTTAACTAACTGTGTTGAACTGTAGAATCAGTATCAACTAGGTACTCCGCATAACCTATTTCTATTTGTTTGCAAGCAAGAGCCGCCATCTAACTAACGACATGAATTGCGGAATAGATCAGTACAGAAAGAGTAACATCATATTAACCCCCTCCCCGGTTAACTTTTTAAGCAAAGAATGATATTCATTATGAACACCACGTATTGATAATAAATACTATGTATTAGTCGCACTTCAATGAATGCCGTGGCGTCGTGATGTTGTCCAGACTCAGTTGGATATTCGAGAATGTACAACATACATAGTCTCAAGAGGCGATCCCTCCTGTACAGCTATTGGAAAAAAAAATTTGCTTTTTCTATATCCATCTCCCCGTGTAAATCATTAAGGTATACTTGAATGCCCAGTGGATCATTCAGCTGAACCTTGCGGAAGCAGGCAAGGGTATAGCTCGGATCAGCTGTGCCGCTTGGTACTTATTGACTGTCTCAGCCGCACCTCAACTTACAGGCATTATAATTCCGCAGAGTCTCCCATTGGACCTATTTGAGAGTCGTAGCCCGACGGAAGAAATCCACATCACTCCCAACTCCATCCAGGCCATCCGGGATCTCGATTTCAGGCGGATCAAAATGCCCAATGAGCAGTCCCCTTTACTGAAAGACGCAGAATCACAGAGACTCCGACATCTCGGCGTTGCAAAACTTCTAGCTGGTCTCTTTGGTATTGGTTCCTTCGTACCTTGCTTGATGTTGAGACGCCGTTTGCGGGCTGACTTGTCATTCTTTTTATGCAGGCGTTTTCCTCGCCAATGCAGACAAATCTATTCTGTTAACGACTCAAAACAAGATTGCGTCTTCCCTACAGGCTTCTTCTGGGGCGCCACTGTTGTTGGTATCATACAATCTCGGTTTTTGCGTTGCACTACCAGTGGTGAGCTTTCCTTTTGAGTACTTTCTTCTGATAAATAGTTCCGACTAATCCATCAAAATTTAGTACGGCTTCCTAAGTGATATATATGGAAGTCGGAATTTTCTTTTGATTTCATATGTTCTATTCTCGGTTGGATGCGCCATATCGTGAGTGTAAATGAAGCCTTAGAACGCACCCCTGGCGTTCAAATGCCACTGCATCATCCTCATTCTCACATCGAATTCCAGCGGCTCTGTCGACTCATTATGGCCATTTGCCTTTGGTCGATTTTTGGCAGGTGTGGGGGGTTCCGGAATGACAGATCTGCTCTCCGTACTTATTAATGGTATGAAGTCCTTTCCTTTTGATATGGTTGAAGAGACCAAAAAGTAAACGGCTGACTGTATTATCAGAGGTTTTCGATTCCACGGAAATCGCGTACGTACGAAGCTATGTCACTGCTGCCGAGATCTTTGGCCAGGGATGTGGAGGACCACTTGGAGGCCTTGTTACTGACAAGATTGGCTGGAGATGGTAAGTCATTAAAGCTAATGAGTGTTTGTCTCTGATGCCATTTTCCATTGACTGGCAGGTTTTTAGGGCCTTACTCGGTCAAGCGCCTGTCGGTATCCTCTGTTTGATCTTAGCATATTGGCAACTCCCACAAGTTCCCACGAAGAATGACACGGAGAATAGGCTGAGTTTATGGAGCTTCGATTATTTGGGACTTGGAGCCTTCGCCATTTCAGCTACTTTATTCGTTCTCGGAGCAACCGACGGAAGTTCCGCCATAGGTGGTAACAAGGTTGCTATATTTACCACCTCGGCTGTCTTTCTAGTACTCCTGGTGTTCATTGAAAAAATGGTGTCTAGGCCCATCATTCCTCTCTCTATGATCACAGCACCGGGTTTAAGAAACATTTTCCTTGGACAGTTCATGTTCTTTGCGAATGTCAGCACAGTAAGTGAAGGTTCTGCACTTTGACGGACATAGGTGATTTTGAAGTATGGCTAATAGATCGCAGTTTCTGAACAATCTTCCGCCGTACTTGTCCCAGATAGACCACCTCACTAGCTCACAGATTGCACTCCGACTCTGGCCATCCTGCCTTGGGTTGATTCTTGGCGCCATGGTAACGGGAAAGGTCTTGAGAAAGTAAGTTACGAGGCCAAGAAAACAACATTAACTAACAATTCCAGGACCGTCAAATATCGCAAAGTATCCCTCGTCGGGGTGGCAATCTGTGTTGCATCTTTGATTGTTATGACTACAAGATGGAAAGATGGCATAATTGGAGTTGAGGTGCATTATGGTTTCCCTTGGTCAGTAGGGAGTGGAGTCTTCCTCTCAGCCCAGTTCATTGCGTTGAGCGTGCGGTGCCCAGGGCAAATGGCCAACGCCACGGCGATTTATTGCCTAATACAGCAAATTGGTCAGATAGTGGGTACCAGTGGTAGCACCGCAGCTCTACGGGGTCTTTTTGGCCTTCGGCTTGGTGTCAATTTGGACGACATACTCCCACGCGAGAAGGCAAAGGTACAACAACACTTGTCCAACTACCATAGCAGTTATTCAGGTTATGCTCACTGAATCTATAGATAATCCGTGGAATCCTACACAACTATGAGTCTATTGCAACTTTGCCTGAAAACCTGCAAAAAGCTGTCCAATCAAGCTACATCGAGGCCTTCAGGCTAGTCCCAGGTATGTGAATTCTCTCATCTAATATCTCGAACCAAAAGTTAACAGCCGTAGCACTCGCTATGATTCTATCTACTATCAGCGGGGTCCTCATTATCTTCACATAAAAGGGAGTTGCTGACAAGTAGACTTCGGTAAAACCGATTTGGGTCGGAGCTTCCAATCAAGGCCCAACCCAATTGGGGTTGGGTTCTAGTCGTTGGTAAGTATGCTTCGGTATTCGAATCTTTGATGGTTTCAATTGTTGCTTTAGATAAAAGTGAGCTGACAGTCATAAGTACTGTATGCGCATGCCACCCCTGTGATCATTTCATTCAACGGCATATTCGATAGTATTATTTAGTACTATTATTACTGTATTATTTATTTATTCCCTCAGACTTTCACGATATGGCGACCTTTCTACGTATTTTGAGAGAATGCCTTCTTCCGGTAGTCTCTGGTCATCTCTTATACTTGAAAAATTCCGAATTAGCTAGTTACCTACAATACTAGTACCTAAATGTTCGAACATATTTGAAAAAACTAACAGAATTCTTGTATTTTTGATGGCAAGCTGTAAAAGATGGTTTGCTTTACGCCGTTTATAATATTATAATATTGGGATTCCCCTTCCAAGATTCACCTTTGATACCGATGCAAGAAGAGCTCCACTACCTACTCCGTACTGATGTAGGACTTGAAGACAAAGGTACATTCTGCGTTATACCAAAGCGTGATTTCCTAGAAAAGAAAATAAAATAAGAATTCTAGGTAATACTAGTAGGACATCAGCATTAGCTGAAGTTTCGTGCTAGCTTGGTATGTACAAATTCAAGGTTTTGATCGTTATCAAGTTGATAAATAATATGAATCTACAGATGGAATGCAGATGGAGAATCATGCAGTCAGATCCGATGTGTATGAAGTGGACGGGGAGAGAAAAGAGAGAAGGGGAGAGAGAGAGAGAGAGAGAAACTATCTACTGCAGATATGGATCTGTCCCATGTGGGATCATATCATATGACCTTGTTTGTCAACGACCAGATAGTCTCCTCTCTCCTCTCTTCTTCTTTTCCCCTTTCCATCCATCATCATCATCAATCATCATCATCATCAACGGTGATCATCAGCAGTTAGCAGGAATGCATTGCATTGCTGATCTCTCTCTTCTCCTGACTCGCTGTCAGTTTCTAACAGCTGTGTAACATGAAAGCTTACCTGACCTATCTTATTTGTCTTCTGACGAGCTGAACAGGCGGTCAATTTTTATTGATATACGGAGTAGTGTCTGCAGGCTATGTACTACGTCCAATAGTCCTCCCCTCCTGGCAGTTCCAACCAATACGTTGATGCCATTTGTCCTCTTCTAGACCTGATATTCGCACGATCTCCATAGTAGTGATAGCTCTCACGGGCCCGCTCTTTCCCTCGTCTTGGTCAATAAGTCTGATTTATCATCTAAAGATGCAGCCATGGATCCTCTGCATGTTAAATTATCATTCTTCCGACTACTCCGTATTTGGGTTACGCAAACATTTGAAATCGAAGACTAGCCCCCTTATGCAGGACACGAAAGTCAACATGTATTAGGGACGGCTCGTGCACGATCCGGGATACGAGATTTACAGTCCAGGTATTCTACACACCCTGGGAACATTGAATATTTAATGACAGCCATAGGAGATGTTGCCGGTAACATCTCCGCCTTTCATTTCATCCCGCGCTTGTCATCTGTCCTCAATTGCTGAATTCCCTTTTCCTGAACTAGAGCTTCAGATTCGACACAATGTGTGGTATCAGTGCCTTCATTGAACTCTCCAGGGATGGGTTCGTTGATTCTCCTTTGCAAACAAAGCAGCTTAAGGGGCAAATGGAGCAAAGCATGGACTCTATCAATCACCGTGGCCCTGATGCCCGAGGGAGATGGTTCGGCAACGATTACGAAGTCGGTAAGTCCGTCTAGGCTCAAGATCCGTCGAGTTCCAAACTTACATACCTATCATAGGAATGGGTCATGTTCGGCTGAAGATCATTGACATGACTGAGGCTGGAACCCAGCCATTCCACGATGACGAAAGCGACATCCATGCCGCCACGAATGGAGAGCTCTATGACTGGGAGCAATATCGTGAAGAACTGAGCGAGGTGCATAATTTCAAGTCTAATTGTGACTGCGAGATCCTCATAGCTCTTTACAAGCAGTATGGGCTTTCATTTTTGTCTCACCTCAGAGGAGAATTTGCCTTTGTGCTCTGGGATGCGAAGCGCAAGCTGCTTATAGCCGCGCGGGATAGATATGGAATCAAGCCACTTTACTATACTGTAGTCAATGGTCGGCTCTTGGTGGCCACTGAAATGAAATGCTTTTTGGCATATGGATGGAAGCCCGAATGGGATGTTCGAACCCTACGGGATCAGAGCTGGCGGGTTGAATCAAAGACCTTCTTCCGTGGAGTCCATCGGGTAAGTGACACCATAAAAGAAACCTGAAGACAATGTCAAATACCTCGTCTAACATAAATTCGATATCTAGATCCTTGCTGGTCATTACTTGATTGTGCGCAACTCTGAGAGTGAAGGACAAAAGCCTTATTGGGATCATGACTATCCTGACAAGGTAGGACCCCAGCTTCAACTTTCTATTTAACCTACTGACATCCTACAGTTTACTCGTGAGGTGCGAACCGAAGAGGAAATGATCCAAGGAGTGAGGGATCGTATCCTTGATGCTGTGAGGGTTCGATGCCGGGCCGATGTTCCTGTTGGCATTACCCTTAGTGGAGGCTTAGATTCCTCCACAGTAGCCGGAATGGTGGCTCATCTTATCAAAGAGGGAACAAAACTTGGCTCTAACTCGGATCCAACGCCCTCTACCATGAAATGTTTCACTGTGCAGTTTGACGAAACTAGTGGTGTTGATGAATCTCGTGAGTCCTTATTCGGTCTTGAGAAATTTTCGTATAGGGAATTTCAAAACTAATTGATTTTGTTCAGCCATTGCTAAACGAACTGCCGAAATGTTGGGCGTGGACTTCCATCCTGTGAAAGTGGATGAAACGGCGTTAGCACAACGGTTCGAGGATGCCATATGGTATAGTGAGACTCCACTTCCGGATGTGAACGGAGCGGCCAGGTTGGCTCTTGCGGAAGCAGTGCACGCTAGTGGTATCAAGGTTGTTCTCACTGGTTAGTAAAGCCGTATACTTGAGTTGGCCCAATTGTGACTAGCGGATACTGAAATTCCGGATTCCACTTTTAGGTGAAGGTTGTGACGAGCAATTCGCGGGCTACCCTTCGTTTAGGGTAGACTATCTGTCCGAGGTCGATCACTCCTGGCCAGCTAGTGATTTTTACCCGAGCGAGCGCGAGGAAGCGTTGGTCAAAGCCATACAAGATGCGGCTAAAGGAGAGTTTGGCGAACGCAGCACGAAAATTCCAGCAGCGATCAAACGTCAACTCAAAAATATTGCGACTGCTGGGCCCATGGAGAGAGTTGGGGATTTGCCATTTTCCAAATGGACTGACATCTATGAACCCGAACTGCCAGAGGCGCGTCTCGTTGAGGGTCTCAATGGCATTGTTCGCGAGGCTATGCAAAAGAAGTGGCATCCCCTCCACACGGGTGAATATCTCTCCACAAAGCTCTTCATGGCTCAATTTATCCTGCGCTGTATTGGGGATAACATGGACATGGTCAGCCAAGTGGAAAGTCGCTGTCCCCTCATTGATCATCATGTAACAGAATATGCCAACGGCTTGCCACCTAGCCTGAAGTTGAAATACAATCCAGCCGAGAAGACATGGAGGGAGAAAAACATTCTGCGAGAGGCAGCAAAGCCTTTCATCACAGAAGAAATCTACAATCGTGTCAAGAAACCTTTCCTGGGTCCAAGAAGGTTTTTGGCTGGTGGGCCTTTGCATCAAGTCCTCACACGTCTGGTGAATAAAAAGAACGTCGAAAGTCTCGGATTTGTTGATTGGGATTTGGCACAGGACGCAATGGACAAGTCCTTTTCTACTGATGATTCTTTTGCTTTCAGGCGGATTCTATGTATTGCTCAATTTATTGTCCTCGGGCAACGATTTGGTGTCAGGACGGCCGCATCTCATCCAAACTGATGATCGATCCAGTATCTTACAGGATAAACGTGAAAGTCTCTGCTCTATATGTTAGGCTTGTTATGCTTGATTTATCAAAGTCTTTGTCATGTATATCATTCATAGATACAAAGAAAATGTTTTTGCTTGCCCCATCGACATTTACGAATATTTGGAATGTATCAAGGGGATATCTTTCCCTATTGCTAGGCCGATTCATCCAGTACGAACCTTTACAAGATTCAAGGTTGTTGCTTTGCGCAAGCTCGACCAGTATTCTAGCGTCTTCTTTGTTGGTGCTTCAATCAAGTGTCTTGTCGGTCGACTAGTCCCCTCCTTGCCCATATATGCGCCCACTCGATCGTTGTTTCCCTGCGGATTTGGCGTCTGACTGCAGTTGCGAGACGGATATGTCTACTTTAGGGCTCTGTGGTCCATCCAGTCTCCGGGCAGCCTCTTAATTGGCACCTGGGCACGTCCGATTTAAGTATATATATACCTCGGATCTATCGGGAGATACGGAGTAATTATTAGGTTGTTGTATATTTTAAATGAGTTCACTAGGATAAAATGTGTTTAGAGGTTACATATAGGATACAGACTCCAAGGCTATAGAGTGTAGTTCCGAGGTGAATGTGAAAACAAAGTGCTACCTACATTAGTTAACTAGTTAACTAAGCTACCTGGGTAGCTTCCGCCCATTTTATGTACGCGGATATCTGCCGATCAAGGGGGTTATGTATATGAGGGAAAAAAGTATGAAATGTAAATAAAATGTCAATAAAACCAATGAATACCTGTAGTTGTTATTAATTACATAGAGCAGCAAATAAAACCAATAATATCACATAAAATTACCGTACCTTTTAAATATGTAGTTAAAAGGACCAATTAACTATGTTTGTATGTTTGTATGTTGTTATTTTGTTATGTGCTTGTAGAACAAGATCGAAACCTGTACACGCCCTAGTCCCGATTGGGGAGCTTAGGGAAGAGGCCACCTGGACCTTCCCCCTCCCAGTGCCCTTTCTATAAAATCATCTCCTCTTTTCTTCATTTTGGTGCTGTGCGCTCCACTTTCATTCCTTCTATTTGTTGTTTACAATATGCGCTTTAACACTGCATTGACATCGGCTCTGGTCTCCTCCGCTAGCCTCATGGGTTACGCCCATGCGGAGGAGGAGACTGCGGATACCACCGTCATTGACAAGCCTGCCTTCACTGTAAGCATATGTAACCGACGTCCCCCCCTCAATTCCCTCCTGCTAACTTATGCAAAGCCCACTAGCCTCAAAGCTCCCTTCCTGGAGCAATTCACAGACGACTGGGAGTCTCGGTGGAAGCCTTCCCACGCGAAGAAGGAGGACAAGTCCGAGGATGAGTGGGCTTACGTCGGTGAATGGGCAGTTGAGGAGCCCTCCGTCTTCAAGGGTATCGATGGCGACAAGGGTCTGGTCGTGAAGAACGCTGCTGCCCATCACGCCATCTCCGCCAAGTTCCCCAAGAAGATTGACAACAAGGGCAAGACCTTGGTGGTTCAGTACGAGGTCAAGCCGCAGAGTGAGTCGCGACTGTCTACATTTGATCGCATTTTTATGTGCTAACTGGAATTGTCCTGTATTAGACTCTCTGGTTTGCGGCGGTGCCTACCTTAAGCTTCTCCAGGAGAACAAGAAGCTCCACCAGGAGGAGTTCTCCAACGGCACTCCCTATGTCATCATGTTCGGCCCTGACAAGTGCGGTGCCACTAACAAGGTTCACTTCATCTTCCGCCACAAGAACCCCAAGACCGGCGAGTACGAGGAGAAGCACCTTAAGACCCCCCTGTGGCCCGCACCAACAAGATCACCTCCCTCTACACCCTGATCGTCAACCCCGACCAGACCTTCGAGATCCTCGTCAACGGCGACTCTGCCAAGAAGGGCAGCCTCCTCGAAGACTTCAACCCCCCCGTCAACCCTGAGAGGGAGATTGATGACCCTAAGGACTCTAAGCCCGCCGACTGGGTTGATGAGGTTCAGATCGCCGATCCCGAAGCCACCAAGCCCGCCGACTGGAATGAAGAGGCTCCTTTCGAGATTCTCGATGAGGAGGCCACTCAGCCCGCCGACTGGTTGGAGGACGAGGCCGAGAGCATTCCCGACCCCGAGGCCGAGAAGCCCGAGGATTGGGATGACGAGGAGGATGGAGACTGGCTCGCTCCCACTGTCCCCAACCCCAAGTGTGCCGATGTCTCTGGCTGTGGCACTTGGACCCGTCCTATGATTAAGAACCCCGAGTACAAGGGCAAGTGGGAGGCTCCTCTCATCGACAACCCTGCCTACAAGGGTGTCTGGGCTCCCCGTAAGATTAAGAACCCCGCCTTCTTCGAGGACAAGACTCCATCCAACCTTGAGCCCATGGGCGCTATTGGCTTCGAAATCTGGACCATGCAGAATGACATCCTGTTTGACAACGTCTACATTGGTCACTCCGTTGAGGATGCTGAGAAGCTCCGCCAGGAGACTTTCGATGTCAAGTTCCCCATTGAGGAGGCTGAGGAGGAGGCTACTAAGCCTAAGCCCGAGGTCAACGAGGAGGGTACCACCGTCACCTTCCAGGAGGATCCAGTTACCTTCGTCCGCCAGAAGGTCAACCACTTCGTTGAGCTGGCCAAGGAGGACCCGATCAACGCTGCCAAGACCCTCCCTGAGGTGGCTGGTGGCCTGGGTGCGCTTCTCTTGACCATGATCCTCGTCGTTGTGGGTGCCATTAGCGCCAGCAGCCCTGCCGCCCCGGCCGAGAAGAAGGGTAAGCAGCCCGCCGGTGCTCCCAAGGAGAAGAAGGAAGAGGCTGTCAGCTCCTCAGCTGAGACCAGCAAGGGCGGTGCCACCAAGCGCACCACCCGATCCTCCGCCGAGTAAACGCGATAATTGGTTTCCCAATTATCCACAGAAAAGAATTTTACCCATAAACCCAATGAGCGACCGGATTTTGCATTTTAGTTCCCGCTGTGATCCCCTTCTTGTTGTGTCTTGGCCGATGTAGTAGTCAGAAGGTTCATGAAGAACATTTGATTGGAGGCCCGATTTGTATACTTCTCTCTATCTCTATTCTTTCTACTCGGTATTCACTATTTCTTTTTCTCTCGGAAGTACTTGCCTATCAGTAGTGTCAGAAATGATTTTTCCCCGTCCCTATATCCCTATACGATATAAAAAACATATAGTTAAGTCTGAAAAGGGAATTACATTCCTAATTGACTTCATCCCTTGCCTACGACGTCTAGTAGGTATAACCCGAAAAGGAACATAAGCGATTAAACGCGGACTAGTAGTGTCGGCGATTCGAGAATGCCTTGCGAACTTGTCATTGGCTGAAAAGACCGAGAAGGTACCTTATCTGGGGGGTTCATTTGTACAACGTGGGGAACGTGACTAAGGCGCTTTGCCTCGGGCCTGGGGTAACCTGGTCCTTTGGTATATGATTCCCGAGGTCATTTCGTCACTTACATTTCTTTTTCTACTTAATCTTTGGCTTGTCCTATATCTGAATTCAATCTGTCACTCCCTCTCTTCAATTCATCATGGCTGCTTGTCGGTCGATTGCCCGTTCCATCCCCGCTCTCCGTGCAGTTCCCCGCACGGTGTCGGTAACTGCCAGAGCTGCTTCTTCCAGATCTCTCACTACCACTTCCCTCGCCAGTCTGGTCTCTCGTAGAGCAACTGTGCCTTCCTCATCGCTTTCTGCTACTCGCTGCTTGCACGCAACAGCCCAGCGACTCGTCCCCGGAACAACATCAGCCGCCTCTACCTCTACTGAATACCCAACAAGCCACCAAAAGATTACCAACCCAATTGACACTGCTAACTTCATTGACAATGAGTTTGTGTCATCACAGGCATCCAAGTGGATTGATCTCCATGACCCTGCCACCAACAACCTAGTCACCCGTGTGCCCCAGAGCACAGATGCGGAGCTGAAGGCCGCTGTGGAGTCGGCCGAGAAGGCCTTCCCCGCTTGGAGAGCCACCAGCATCATGGCCCGCCAGCAGATTATTTTCAAGTTCACCGACCTCATTCGTACCCACTGGGACCGATTGGCCGCGTCTATCACCCTTGAGCAGGGTAAGACTTTCGCCGATGCAAAGGGTGATGTTCTCCGTGGCCTTCAGGTTGCCGAGACCGCCTGTGGTATCACCACGCAGATGACCGGTGAGGTCTTGGAGGTGGCCAAGGATATGGAGACAAGAAGCTACCGCGAGCCGCTCGGTGTTGTGGCCGCTATCTGCCCCTTCAGTAAGTAACTCATGTCAACAAATTTAAATTCCCTCCATATAGATGCTAATTGTCACCCAGACTTCCCTGCCATGATTCCCCTTTGGTGTATCCCGGTCGCTACTGTGACTGGTAACTGCTTGGTCATGAAGCCATCCGAGCGGGACCCCGGTGCTGCGATGATCCTGGCGGAGCTTGCCAAGGAGGCCGGTTTCCCGCCGGGTGTGATTAACATCATCCACGGTACCGCTCCCACTGTTGACTTCATTCTTGATGCGCCTGCTATCAAGGCTATCAGCTTTGTTGGCAGCAACCGTGCTGGTGAATACATCTACACCCGTGGCTCTGCCAATGGCAAGCGCGTGCAAGCCAACCTAGGCGCTAAGAACCATGCCGCCGTCCTGCCCGACGCCAATAAGAACCAGGCTCTTAATGCCATAACCGGTGCTGCATTTGGTGCTGCTGGTCAGCGCTGCATGGCATTGAGCACCTGCGTCATGGTCGGCGAGACTAAGGAGTGGCTGCCGGAGATCGCCGAGCGGGCCAAGGCTCTGAACGTGAACGGTGGCTTTGAGGAGGGTGCTGACCTCGGCCCTGTGATTAGCCCCGAGAGCAAGAAGCGCATTGAGGACTTGATTGCTAGCGCCGAGGAAGAGGGTGCGACCATTCTTCTGGACGGCCGTGGCTTCAAGCCCGAGAACTACCCCAACGGTAACTTTGTAAGTTCCACTACAGAAAATGATCTACATCTGTGTAACTCGAACTAATTGTGTCCCCGTAGGTTGGCCCAACCGTCATCACCAATGTCACCACCGATATGAAGTGCTACAAGGAGGAGATCTTCGGTCCAGTTCTCGTGTGTCTCAACGCAGAGACCCTTGATGACGCCATTGACGTGATCAACGCCAACGAATACGGCAACGGTGCTGCCATCTTCACCCGCTCCGGTTCGACCGCCTCTAAGTTCCAGAAGGAGTGCGAGGCTGGCCAGCTCGGTATCAACGTGCCCATTCCCGTCCCTCTTCCCATGTTCTCTTTCACGGGTAACAAGAAGAGTATTGCCGGTGGTGGTGCCAACACTTTCTACGGCAAGCCCGGCTTGCAGTTCTACACCCAGCAGAAGACTGTGACTAGTCTTTGGAAGAGTGAGGATGCGGTTAGCACCAAGGCTCACGTGGTGATGCCCACTCATTCGTAAAAGTCTTGGTATTTGCCTCATTTGATTTTTTGATTTTGTTTTAGCCGATCAGTCGCATGATAAGTTTTGTCTATTTTTAGTTGAACAAAACACACGTCTCATGGATCCCAATGAATGTATCTGAACCATATGTTTGCTTTTATATGAACATGGACATGGATTACCAGATTGAACAGTGTAGGAGATGAAGAATTGGCTGCAATTTCATGCTTTGGATGTCTGAAATCCACGTGCACTCTCGCTGTCCATCCTTGTCGCCGTCTCTGAATCCCAGCCGAATCTGACTCTGTTTCATTCTCTCATGCTGTTATCCTTTTCCTCTTTCTAAAGCTCATACAATTATTTCTTCCTCATTAATTCCACCGATTCGACCGCTATCCATCCGAATCTAACTCTATGTTACAACCTGCCCCTGGACTGGCGAGCTACACACTAGACTAAAAGACCATTATATCTGAACATTACGCTCAGATTGTCCAGGTTCCGATATATATAGTGCATGACATGACACTCTGTTTCATTCTCTCATGTTGTTTATCCTTTTCCTCTCTCCGAAGCTCGTACGATTCTTCCTTCCTCATTACTTCTACCGATTCGACCGCCATCCATCCGTATCTGCTCTCGACACGCTTGAACCCACCTCCATTGGCCACCATGACGCCGCCAACAATTGGCAAGCAAGTTCCTATGACAATGGGAAGACTGGCAAATCGCAGTCCATCGTGCCGGAAACACGTAACACCCAAATCAGCAAGATCATTGCGGCTCCGGCTCGAACATAAGAAAAGAGGAGTACCTCCTATTGCGAGTCGCGAGTCTTGTGGTCCATAGATCTTCAAATGGATTACAGCGCGCTGGCCGATCTAGGATTGAAAAGCCGCTTCACAAGAGACAGGCAATGGCTGCGACCGCCTTTCTCTGTATACAACAGTCTATCCTGTAAAGATTCACCCATCCCTAAACTAGCGGCCAAGAGATCTGCCAATTCACTTCAGATTCACTTCAGATTCACTTCAGATTCACTTCAGATCCAATTCAATTTCAATTTACTTTAGAAGTCCCTATACCCAACTATATAGTGGATCCTATATTATACGTACTATTATAGAAGGATTCTTCCGTCTAAAAAGGGAGTAAGATCCGATTGTTATACACGATAATACTCCTAGGCATACTACTAAAGAGATTCTTGATTTCTTCGAGGGGTTTAGGGCTACTATGATATAATAGCCTACCTTCTTACCTAATTTAAACCCCATTAAGGAGGTATAGAACTAGATAAAGGATTACGTTGAGAGAAAACTATACTGGAGGAATTCCTATCTGATCTGATTGATAGAGTATGCTATTGAGGTGGTAGATAGTGATTGCTGCTAATAGGGGACCTACTACATACTAAGATACTAAGATAACTAGTAAGATAGTAAGAAATTGAGAGCCCTGTTCTAAATCAATATAGTATTCATTTGTAGAAATACTATATAAATACCACGCTAATTGTACACGGAAGTTATCGCATGGCTAAAATGCGACACGGCCGTTCACAACCGGTAGGAGGCCAGACGTTTAGAAGTGCTAACATTATTTCGTTGCCTGATTTCTCAAGACGGCCATGAGATATACATCTCAGTGGCCAGTTTCGACAGCACCTACCTCCACTGGCTAAGGAACAAGCGGGCCATTAGCCGACCTAAGGACAGCTTCCTTAACATGGCCCGATATGGGCCATGGTTCATTGACAGCGCGGAACATGTCGCTGAATTTGCGGCTATTATCCTTGCCATTATGGTAGCGGAGAAGTGACTAACTGCTAGCTCCTTTTTCTTCCCTGTTTTCTTTTCTTTTCTTTTCTTCTTTCCTCCTTCGTTTCCTTCACTTTGCATTACTGGAAGTGTCACGATCTGATGTTACATGCTGGATCGTTTGCTGGTTTGCTTTCTCTTTATTTGCTTCGCCTAGTTGTTTCTGCATCAAAGGAACTCGACTGTAGTCTCTTTAACAGGGCATCCTGCATTCATGTTCTGCTATGTCTTACATCAGTATCATCAATTAAAATCAATTGGCCGGTTTGGATGTAATATTGAGCTAACTATGGTTTTTAGCAAGCTAAGAAACCGAAACTCGAGAAAAGAATACACGAGCAAAAGGCATTTACTCCCCAGCCCAACGCTCCTTAAAAGCGTAAACAAGTCTAGCAGACGCAACCTTCCCATCCTTAACAACAACAACCCGACGAGTATGACGTCTCTCGCCATCAACAATCTCAAAGCCCCAAACCTGCTCCGCAGTCCACCCAGCACTCTCATTCTTCACAAAGCTCTGCAAGAACGCACCCTCGCCCTCCTCAGCAAGGAATCCCTCACTCTTCGATCCATCAATGAGAGTCTCTCCAATCAGGAACTTCTGCACTTTAGCATCAGCCTCAGGCGAGCCGACCTGAGTCTGGATCTCGATGACAGGACGCACAGCGCCGTCCTCACTCTTAGCGGCAGCGAGGTGGCGCGAGCAACCCCGTAGCGTGCCGAAGATGTGGTCGACGTGCTCGCGCTCGGTCCAGTCGAGCTTGCGTGTTTCCTTGGTGCCTTGGATGCCGCCTGTGATTACTTGCTGCGCATCGACGTGGATGAGAGTGGGGTCCTCGCTGTCGGCGTACTGGTGCACGTTGACTGTCACTGTTGCATAGGAGAGGGCCTTCCGTGTGACCCAGCCGACGCCTTGCTGTTTTAGTTTGTTAGTGGGGTTGTTGGATGGGGGTTATATATGGGGGTTATGTTATGTATGGTATAGTGCAGGGTGGGTGTGAATAATAGTGATATTATGAATTTGTATGATTGGAGAAGTTGGGACGGGGGGTTGTGGGAGGCTTGGCTGTTTTATATTTGGGGGTAACTTGGCGGGAAGGCCGGTTAGGGCTGGGGGGTTGCATACCAAAGAGAGAAGAGGGTCTGATGGGTTAGAGTGGGTTGAGTCCTGTTACACATGTCAGTATTCTTTTTCTTTTTTCTTCTCTGGACGTTGGTTGGGCTTACCATCTCCCATTTTCCACTCAGGTTCTGGAGAGTAACATCAGTAGGGGCGGCCATCTTGAAGGTTGATGTAGTTGTATAAGTTGTATAGTTGAGGTTGAAGATGAAATGCGGGGATGGTGGGGGGGAAGTTGATGAGCAATGAGATGACGATTTGGTCAGTTGAAAAGGAACTTGAACTTCGAGGGGATAAGAGAAATCACCAAGCGATGTCACGTAATATATAGTTGTCTTGGACAATCAATGGGCTTCAAGGCCAATTGTGTCAATTGCATGTGTTTGTTCAAGAATCCGAGGCTAAGGTCACCTGATCTGCTGACTGTACATGTGATTCTGGAGAAGTTCGGTGTTTACTATACTTTTAGAGAACTACAATCCAATCATGTCTTTCAATAAGAAGTATGCCGGTCTTCCTGATCTGGTGAGCAATGCCGACTGTTAATATCCACTAGCATTCCACTAGCATTCCACTAACTGTGACCTAGGACCCATCCCCAGATATCTATGAAACCCCCGACTTGACCGACGAAGCATCCACCTTGCCCGTGAGTCCGCCAATTCCATACCAACGAGACGTCATTGGGCCTAATCACTGATGCTGTCTAGACTGCCACTATCCGCACAGATTCAGACCATGATGACGCAGGCTCAAACTCCGACATTGACCGCGAGGGTGTCAACCCGGACCAGGCGCGTATGCACTTCATGGGGGCGGCCGTGGATGCCCGCGACGTCAATTTCTCAGATAGCATTTCCATGAAGCGCCAGGCTTATCGGAGCAAGAGTATGAGCCGCCGTCGTCGGAGACGCGAGGACGGGGTAGAGGAGGTTGGTGACCTGAGTGACAGCGAGGACGAGTCGCTTGAACGGAGGCTAGCGCGGTTGCGGAGGGAGGTCGAAGATCTTAAGGTGGAAATGGCCAACAAAACCGACGGCGCAGAGACTGGAAAGGAATCGCAGAGTGTTGCCGCAGCTGAAAAGCCAGGAGAGAATCTGGGCGATGGCGTTGCGGAGTTGAGCCGCGCTTTGGACAATCTGCATGCTTCGCGAGGTGCGGCGAGCTCGTCGCACTCGGCTGCGGCTTTGCTGTCCCAGAAGCTTGGATCTGAGATTCGCTCTGCTACATACGAAAAGACACAAGCCTCGCCCGATGCCTCAAAGGCAGTCTCCACTGTGCCAGCCCCAGCTGCCTCTTCGGCAGGAATCCTCTCTCACGCGGCAGCATTCGACAGCCGCCTAGTGCTTCTTGAAAGCTCCATCGGTATCTCAAGTGCTTCCAATCCCTTCATCGTGGACGGCATCAACGAGTCAACATCCCACCCAGTCCTCCCCGCTCTGGACCAGCTCACCTCCCGCCTCTCAGCATTGACCGGACTTCTCGTCGGCACGAACCCAGCATCCGCAACGCCAGGAGTAGCCAATGCCGCACCAGGAATGACAACCCCACACCTGGAAGCTCTCTCCACACGAGTCCGAAAGTTGACCACGGACGCCGAGGCACTTACCGCAGCCCGCAGAAAAGCCTTTGAAGCCGCAAAGGCCGTCCACAACGCCCGTCTAGCAAGTTCCGACGCCGACGTCGTCCCCGCACTAGAAGCATCAACCGACGACGACCACGCCGCCAAGATCCAAGCCCTCTACACAACCCTCCCAACCATCCAGTCCCTGCACCCCCTGCTGCCCAGCGTCCTCGAGCGTCTGCGCTCTCTGCGCGCTTGCCACGCCGGCGCAGCCCACGCCGCGGACTCGCTCAACGAGCTCGAAAAGCGCCATGCCGAGATGGCGTCGGAGATTGAGCAATGGCGTGACGGTCTGAGGACCGTCGAAGAGAAGATGCAGCAAGGTGAAGCTGCTCTGCGTTCCAATGTGGAAACTGTCGAGCCCTGGGTGCGTGACTTGGAGTCTCGTCTGGCGCGTTTAGAAGGTCCCGCGACATTGTAATCCGTTTCTTGTGTCCACCTTTATTTTTGGATCTGCTCTGTCCCGGGGACAGAGGTTTGATGAATAATACCCAGTTTGCATGTACGTCGAATGTTGAGGGCACATTGTAGTTATCTTCAGTTGTTAATATCAGTTCCATATCAGATGGCACCGTGCTTTTCGAATAACACCTTACTACGTTTGTAACAGAAGTGTCTTTTATTAGACAGACAGACTAGAATATAACACTTTCTATATCCTTACTAAACATAATATCCCTAGCTCACCCGTTTCAACACCTGAGCTCTCGGCCTCATCTTAACCTCAACCCACCACCCACTCAACACAGTCTTCCTCGCATACTCACGCAGACTCTCAAACAAATCAACAGCACGATCACCCGCAACAGCACCAATAACACGCCTTTCAACAGTTCCACTAGCAGGAACCCCAGGCCTCAAAACCGAAATCCCCGCAAACGAATCCACAACAAGCATCCTCTCCCAGTCTGAAGCAGGGAGCGCACGCCGAAGACTCATCTCATCAGCATCCATGAACCCAGCCTCGTAATCAGCCTCAACAACGACATAATCAAACCGGTCCCAGAACGCACTCGTGGATTTAACGTCCTTGTCTTCTGTTTTGTCATATACCCACCCGGACGACGGGGATTGTTGCAAGAAGCGTGTTACACCCGTTTGGCAGGCGAGATTACCTAAGTAAACATTGATGGGAGGGTTTGTCTTCCCAGAATGCAAGTCCGTATCATGGAGGCTCGAGTGTTGAACATGCATAGCGACAAGGGCCTGACCACCGGGATAATTTGCCGCGGAGGCCGGAAGGAGCACGAAATTCGACAGACAGAACACGACGAATGTGGATACAGCCAGAGTGCGAGTCGCTAGACGGGCGAAGAGCGAGCGCGAGCGATGCGTCCAGAGATACGCGGCGCCGAGGGCTGCTACTGCCGTAAGAGATGGGACGATGTAAACAATAAATCGCCATTCCTTGTGTGGCTGGAAGCTGTAGAGTGTGACGAAAGAAAGCGCCGGGGTTAGAAGGGCCAGTGCGTGGGGTCGCGTTGCTGGTTGGCGTAGGGCGACTGGGATGGCGAGGAGGTAGGAGAGGGGATTGAGGAGGAGACGGGGGAGGGAGTTTAGGAAGTAGAATGGCCATGGTTCTGTGCCCCATTCTGAGGATTGGCCTGCTAGCACGTTGAAGCGGAAGGCTTCGAATTCTGGCCAGAGGGGGAAGGTTTGCCAGAAGGTGCTGTCGAGGTAGACTGTTAGGGTTAGGCCGGTTGTTAGGCCTATTAGGCCTGCAATGATGGTACGTGTAAGGATGATTCGTCTTGTTGCTAGTAGAAAGAGAGTCTGTGTTCCGACTAGGAGGGCTAGTTCGGAGCGGAAGACTACGCCTGCGGTTGTGAGGAGGACCAGTGCAAGGCTGCATTGCTTTTGGTCTTGTACTCTTGAACGAGGATTTGGGAGGAGTAGACACATTGCTAGTGTTGTGATGCTGAAGGCAAACATGTTTGATAGTGGCCTTGAGGCGTAGAATATCAAGTGGAACTGGCTTGCTTGGAGTAGGATGTACCAGATAGCTGTTGGCTGGCCGAAGCTACGGCGCAGACCTCTTGCGTAAACTGCTAGAGAGAATGCGTTGACTAAGCCCAGGATAGCTCGAGCTGAGTGTCGGTGTTAGCTTTGTTGGACATATATAGCAGTATACATCCACGTAGTACCTAATATCTGTCGGTTGATCCCCTCATTCAACAAGATCACGGGCTTCGAGAGCATAGCGAGAGCCGCAGCACCAACGGCGCTCCGGGGAACAGCCCCCGGGAAAGAAAAATGGTCATAGTCGGCGCGGTTGAGAGTCAGATCCTTAAAGCCATTTGGTAATCCGTTGGCCAAGATATCATGTACAGCCTGGATGTGGAACGACTCCTCGACTTTGGTGTATGGAGCAATGAAGAGATGAAGGATAATCACGGCTGGGAAGAGAAGAGCGAGAATCGCAAAAGCTATAAAAAGAAGACCCTAGTTAGCTTATATGTTTCTGTGTTCTTGTATAGAGCGAACGAACTATATCCCATGGTGACTGCATCCGAGAGAAAGAGTGTTAATCCGGAGATCTGGCGCCTCCCGCACTTCAGCACTTCACCTTTTTGACATCTTCCCCAACCCGCAAAGATGTTTTTCTTCGGTCTTGGGAAGTTGTTTTATGGTATGTTACTTGTTATCCTTATTCTTCAGCTTATACTAATATCCTAACTCCCAGTCATTGTCCTCATCATCAATGCCATCGCCGTTCTCTCCGAGGACCGCTTCCTAGCGCGCGGTATGTCCCTCCTCCCCAGCTACACCGTCTAGAACGACAAGAAGCTAACGAATGTCGGAAATATCCAGTCGGATGGGGTCGCACACAAGCAGAGCCGGGATTCGGCGCGACATACGATAGCACAAGCGTGAAAGCCAAGTCCGTCAACTTAATCGCCAGTGTGCGGACTGTCATGCGGAGTACGTTTCCCAATCCCCAACCATCCCCCGCAGCCCAATATAACCAAGGCCAGTCTTGCTTGGATTTGTGATGGCCTGTTTTATCATTCTGGAACCAGTCGCACTCTGATCTGCTCTCATAAAACGAGACACACCAGCAATGGCCTGACGCAATAGCTAACACATGCAACAATACAGTACCCCTTATCGTCATCAACACGGTCATCATTGTCTACGAGCTGATTCTTGGTTAAATTCGTGTTTTTGCTATTTCCTCCACGCCGTCGATCTCCCTCGGATCCGTTGCGACCAAGCTGCATAGCTACATACCCTGCTGCCTGCCAACCTACCTAGCTGTTCACTACGACTTGCGCTGTGACCTCCCTCTTCCGACGAGCCATTCAGAATCGAGCCGTTCAGATCAGACATCTATATCATTAATGACGCCTAAGCGAGAAACGCGGCACGATCCACACGAGCAAGGAACATATTAGGGGGCAGAGGTGGGACTGGGCTATGTGTGTAATAGGACCGGAACACCGCTGCCAGACATCTACTTTATGTTACGCTGGGTCATTTCTCGAGAGTGACAGGAACAGTGGTGGCGTGTGAACAACCCATCTTCCCCTTGAGTTCATTTTGATTACTTCTAGCCTATACCTATCATATACCCACTAAAATGTTAGAACCGCAATGGACACATGATCGAGACGTGGTTTACATGGAGTTAAGAGGCTGGGTTTATCGTTATTTCTCGTAACGGCATAGCAAACCTGTATCTTGTATTTGTTCTCTTATTCTAGTCCATGACCGGCCATTCACCATGTATAGAGGACCGGGATATGACAGCAAACAAGCCGAAAGCCGAATCACCGCATGTACGCAGAAGTTGGAGGAACAGACCGAACATATGCTAAAAGAAAAAGAGAAGACTCGCTCATGACTTGCAATGAGATATGTAAGAAACAGTTCAAGACGCCCAAATCCGAGAAAAGACCCACGCTCAGCAAAGGAAAGCAAACCCAATACGCCTCTTTTCGCAAACCTGCCAGGTTTCAATCCTGTCAGTGTATGTAGGCATCACGCCGTTGTACATGATACAAAAAGTGGCAGTGATGTGAAAAGCAATGACAGCAAGAGAGAGAGAAGAAAAAGGAAGAAAAATACAAATCAAACAGCAAGATACAGTGGGGAAAGCGATAAAAAGCAAGGAGAAGAGAATAGAACCGGTGGGATCTGAGATCCAAAGTCTAGGAAGACATGGCTGTGGAAATAGCCCGGGTAAGAGCGAGGACTTCCACAGGAGAATGGGAAGATGGAGAAGCGCAGATCATAAGAACATGATAGTACATCCATTCAAGGAAGCTATGTGCAAAAGCAAAAATTTGCGCTCATATGTGCAAGATGATAGAGGGTATCTCCGTGAAAGTCGGGCTGAAGATGTGAGATGAAAAACGGAAGAGAGAGCTGTCTGAAGAAGCAAAAAAAAAAGAAAAAGAAAAACACTGATTGTAGTTCATGCCACTTTCTTGAAACTGAAAGATCTCCACCGAGGGGTATGACCGGGCTTTGTATGGTTGGTGTGTTGGTCTTTGGCCAAGTCTTTGGCCAAGGGCTCGGGGGTTCGGATGGGTTGCTTGGGTTGCTTAGGGTTGGAGATAGGTGGGAAATTTCTCGGAGAAGAAACCGGTGACTGAACTGGCTTGATCGGCTGAACTGGTGTGGTGGCTGGCTGGGCCGGTTCTGCCTCCTTGAGAGGTGCTTCCGGTACAACTTCTGGAAGAAGCGGCGCTGTTGAGAGATCCGATGTTGAGACTCGGGGTTCTTTGTCTTTGCTGAGTCGATGACTGAGGCTGCGGCTGCCTCGTTTCAAAAAGCCGAAACTGCTCGACTTCCTTGGTGATCCATTCTCAGCGCTGAAATCCACCGTGTCGGCCCTGCTGGCGTCGATGGCTCTTTTCAACTCCTCTGCCTCCCGTCGCTGCATTTCTCGGTTGTGCAACTCCTGCTCTTTCAGGCGATTCTTTTCATTCTTATCCTTCTCTTTCTCCATAGCCCGACGTTCCTTCCGTAGTTGGTGATCACTCTTCTTTGGGCTCAATGGGGGAGCTGGCTCGTCAGGGATCGGAGGGAGAGGCGGTGGAAGGGATTGCGGCGAGGTTGGATGGGGCGCCACGGGTTCTTCTGGGTAGGTAGACAGTGGGGGTGCGGTTGGGATTCGGCTGAGGGGAGTAAAGGGGATTGGATTCTCAGGAGGCACCTGGGATGCACTTTGGGCATGGGCTAGTGGTGGTGAGAAGGGAGATCCATTCGACTTTCCGGTCTCGCTTGTTTCAGCTGGCGCGGCGGTGGAAGCTTGGTCCTCTTGCGCCTGCTCTCGCATGACAGCCTCGGGAGTTGTCTCTTGATAGAATAGAACATAGGCACACGCCAATCCAGGTCGATCTCCAAAGAAGTTGCGCACGTAACTTTTGTCAACCGGTTCCACAAGCTCATCATCGAACAGCAGCCAACCACGGTCTTCGGTCTTGATGATGGCAACGTAGTGGCCGTGATACGGTCCTCCGCCAATGTGAACCACCACCGCATACAATTCATAAAGCCGGTCTGGGTCTTCGGCATCGTCTGTGGTGTTAAACAGCCGAAGATGGTAGGGATAGACGACACGATGGAACAGCTTCTGCAGTCGCTGCAAGTCCTCTGTATATTTGAAACGCTTCAAATGCAAAGCCAGCACACGGGGCAAACGCTTGATCTTCATCCGCTTCTCCGCTTCTTGCAGTCCACCGCAGTTGTCGCAGTGGAACTTGTTGCGCTCACAAAGCATCTCCTCCGCTGAAAACTTTCGGAGACAAGAGGTCACGGACGAATGCTGCTCGAGATCTACCGATAGATCCAAAAACACCTCATCTCGCTGCGAGACCTTTTCACAAGTGAGACACTTGGTCTCGGACGTCAGAGTTCCCTCAAACAGCTCGTGAACCCACCTCGTAGTGTTTGGTGACTTCGAACCCGTGCTCGAGGGCATCATTCCCAGCGAATCCGCACTTTCCGTTGGTGGCAACGCCTTCTCTGTGAATGATTGCTTCGTGGCCTCCGTTTCGACATTGGCCACTACCTCATTGAGGAGCAAATTCAAAAACTCGTGCGCATCCTGGTGCATGGCGGTCCGGAACATTTCATTTTCTCGTCGTAGAACGTCCAGGAACTGTTGTGGGCGAACGATACCAATGCGCGCTTGGCTGGCTACCACCGATTCGAAGATATCCTTGAGCGAAGTGAAAAGGGACTCGGACATCCCATAACTGGTCGCATTGTTCTTGGTTTCCAGAATCGGAAGGGTCTGCAGTGCTACCTTCTTCTTGTATTCTGGTGAGTCCTTGTCCTCCGGTTTCTGGTTTGGATTTGGGGGTACACCGGCCTGGCGCGCGGATGGTGGGGAGGAAGCCTTTTGTTTGGCGGCTAGTGCTTCGGCTTCGAGGTGTGCATTCGGGTTCTGATAACGTAGGTTCTTTGCGAGCGCCGCCTCGAGGTTGTCCATCGGTGTGCGTTGCGGGTAGTTGATGACGGCTTCCCGGAAGGGGACCGAGTAGTAGAGACATTGCAAGATTGAGTTGCAGTAACAAGTGTTTCCATACTAGACAAAGCACGGGAGATTGCGGTTAGTGACTTTGCGATCCCAACAAATTCCGGGGAAGTCCGAGAACTTACATTTTCCATGCCGTAGAACTTGTCACTCCCATCCCCACGGATGGATCCCATGTCCTGTAACCTCTTTTCTAGCGGCGAAATCTGCGGTACCTGGAGGTCTTTTTTTCACGGGTGGCGCCGTAGCCGGGGGGTTGGCAGCCTGCGCAAAGAAGTGCAAGTCAGTGGCGGTCCTAATCTGAATGGTCTCACGAGGGGTCGAAGCATCTGCTGTGCTACCAGACTGAAAGAGCATGGCAGTAGGGATGTACGATGTATTGTCACTCACCCCATTCTTTGAGCCCTTGGAGAAGAGGGACTTCATGATGGCTTAATGGCCGGTCGCACTCTGCATTGATGAGGCTCAGTGTTCGGGAGTTTAGAGATCACAGGAAGTGATCGGCATATGAATGAGGGTGGGAATGAGAAGGAAATGAAACGCGTCCGGGGAAATAAGGTGAGTGTCGTTTTTGATCACATAAGGTTTCTGGGGTCCGGTGGAAATGAGAGGGGCGGGAGAGAATGAAGTCCGAGTTATGGGGTAATGTTGTGTGTTTAATAAGCTTAGTAGTAATGGGGGAGGGGAAGGGTATGATTGAGGGGAGAGTTTAAAGAAGGATAAATAGATTCAAGAGGTTCAAGAGATTCAAGAGATTATAGAGAGAGAGAGAGATTAAAGAAGTTAAGAAGAGATAGAGAGAGATAGAGAGGTAATTTTGACTAAAGTAGAAGAGACAAGGAGGGGAGTTTGTCTGGAATGGACCCAATTATTTTTTAATATACAAAGTAATAACATACATAGTACATAGTTAACTATACATAGTACAATAGAATAATAATACAAAATATAGTACAAATGCAACCGAATCATCCAGAACCCAACTCAAAACTACTCTGTACCTCCGAAGTACACATATCTCACTAAGAGCCATATCTTGACCCCAATTCATCTTAGTCTCTTTACTCCACGTGGAGACCTAAGGCAGGTACTGGTCCAATCGCCGAATTTCTAGTCTTTTACCGATTACAATCTACACTTATAAATGTAAAATAGAAACACCGGCTATACCGGAGCCCCATCTTATACTCATTGGCTACAACGCTTTTCCCCAGCGGAGTGGTCCTCCTCCCCCCCTCCACGTCCATGGAAGAGAGAGACTCCTCTCCCATTCAACCAAGAAACCCCGTCTCGGTGATTGGCCCTAAGCCGTCCTTGCTCACGGGCCATGTGTCCGCCCGTGTCCGCCCCTCGCATGGCGTAGCCACAACGTCCAATGATCATTTCCATTGTGGGGAAGAGAAAAGGTGGTGGGCCCCCTTTCCAAAGTTGAAATGTGACTGTTCCTTACATGTCTCTCTGAACTCTTTTGAAATGTGAGAGGATCGGGAACAAGCCATCTCGAAGACACCTGGATTCCCATGGGAATACTTGCCGTGCCCAGTAAAGTCAGACTATACTCCGTCCAATGGTATATCAATTTAAATCTATCCCTTGCCGGGGTCCAATAGGCGGCAACAATACCAAGTCATTCTTTCGGTACCACAACGCACGTTCCCGCGATGGGGGCACTCTGGTTAATCGGGGTATGGAGTAGTCTGCCTAGACTTCAACGTCCGATTGAAACTCTACATGATCTGACCACATCATGAGAAGAAAAGAAAAAAAAAGGCAAATTGCTCGGGTGATGCGAGAACTCCGTTACCAAGTCTATCCGGAGTGCATGGTGGGGGTGGCGATACAAAGTTAACCTCTTTCAAGGGGTATGGCGGTAAAAGAAAAGACGCATGGTTTCTAATCAGTCTGATCAGTACTCCGTAGTTTAATCGGTTCTGATGGAATGACGTTATAGACTGTGGAGTAACTAGATCGGTTTCTCCCGAATTGAGCGATTTATTTTGGCTATGTCATAACTATTTCTACAATTCTACAACATACAAGAGACTTTCTATGTAACTATAACCTTGGACAATGTACTCCGTATGTACAATCTACTACATATGTAGTTAACTATATACTCCGTTCCAAGGGCTGTGCGAGGAATACATTGGAATGTGCCTGCCCTCCCCCCCGTCCCAAAGAGGAAAGAGCATTGCCCGCATGGAAGAACTCGGGTTTCATTTCCAGCCCAAGTTGCAAGCAGATCCGGGGAAGTCTAGAACTCAGCTACAACGCCTTAAGGCTTAATATCTCTTCTATAACAGGTATAGAATGGCAATGGCCTTGAATGTCTTTATTTTTACAGAGTCTGTGTTGTCAATAGGCTACCTGGTACTCTGCACATAGTAACTAGGCATATAGTTAGATAGTTAGGTGGTAAAGAGATATGACAGATCATGAAAGGGGCATTTGCATAATTCCAAGGGATTCGTTGACACATCATAACCCTTAACCCTTCCTTGCGAGAAAGAAAAGACAAGAGGTGGGTTTATGGAACATTTGAATAGCTCGGTCCGGATAAACACCATCGGATAAATAATCCTCTAAACAGAAAGAATCTCCGAACCAGCAGATGCCTCAGGAGACCAGGAAGATGCCCGGGATGAACCCAAATAATTTTTGTTTTACAGCGCCATTCTTCGTTCTTTTTTATGCCGTCTATTCCTATTCCTTTGCGCTCTGGACAACGAGCAATCACCAATCCATTTGGTCTGACTCCCATTTCTTGTCTGACTCATTGCCCTTCGCTGCAGAACCGTCGAGTCACCTCGAATAAAAATAATATCCCTGCCCCCACCATCCCCCACCAAATAATTTATCCCCGCCGCACTCGCCAGTTTTCCTCCTCCCATCGCTCCGCTCAAATAATCACAATCACAATGGGGAAAGACAAGGGTACGACATTCAATCTCAAGACCCCCAAGGGCACCAAGGATTGGTCCGGCTCCGATGCCCTCCTCCGAGACCGCATTTTCACCACCATCTCCAACGTCTTCAAGCGCCACGGCGGTACCGCACTAGACACTCCTGTCTTCGAGCTGCGCGAGATCCTAGCTGGCAAATATGGCGAGGACTCCAAGCTCATCTACGACCTGAAGGACCAGGGTGGCGAGATCTGCTCCCTGCGCTACGACTTGACAGTGCCGTTTGCGCGCTGGCTCGCCATGAACACCGACGTCCGCAGCATCAAGCGTTACCACATCGCCAAGGTCTACCGTCGCGACCAACCCGCCATCAACAAGGGTCGCATGCGTGAATTCTACCAGTGTGACTTCGATATCGCCGGCACCTTCGACGCTATGGTTCCCGATGCCGAGATCCTGCGTATCGTCAGCGAGGTCTTCGAGGAGCTGGGCTGGAGCGGCCGCTACACCATCAAGCTTAACCACCGCAAGATCCTGGACGGTGTCTTTGCCGTCTGTGGTGTGCCTGAGGACAAGCTCCGACCTATCTCCAGTGCGGTCGATAAGTTGGACAAGATGCCGTGGGCGGATGTGCGCAAGGAAATGGTCGACGATAAGGGTCTTGACCCCAAGGTTGCGGATCGTATTGAGACATACGTTATGAACAAGGGCTCGCGCGAGCTGCTCGACTCTCTCCTGAAGGATGAGGCCCTCAACGCCAATGCCTCCGCCAAGGCCGGTCTCGAGGAAATGGCTTTGATGATGGACTACCTCGAGGCATTCGGCGTGTTGGATAAGATCTCTTTCGACATGTCCCTTGCCCGTGGTCTAGACTACTACACCGGTGTCATCTACGAGGTTGTCACCGAGGGTTCGGCTGGTGTCCAGGCCGATGCCCCAGAGGCACAGAAGGCCGAGAAGTCCAAGAAGGGCAAGTCCAAGCAGCCCTCCGAGGAAGAGGACCGATCCAACGACCCCACTCTCGGCGTGGGCAGTGTCGCGGCCGGTGGTCGCTACGATAACCTGGTCAGCATGTTCCAGCCCAGAGCGCAGATCCCCTGTGTTGGAATCTCATTCGGTGTCGACCGGATCTTCTCCATCACCAAGGCACGCATCGAGCGCGAGCAGAAGTCCGATGCCCTTCGCAGCAGTGAGGTCGATGCCTACGTCATGGCCTTCGGTGGTAAGGGCTTCAACGGAATGTTGAAGGAGCGTATGGAAATCTGCCAGAAGCTGTGGAGCGCTGGTATCAAGGTAAGCCTTTTATTTCCGTTTATAATGGCCTATTTGAATAATAACTAACATGCATATATTCAGGCTGAGTTCTCCTACAAGTTGAAGCCCAAGCTGCCCCAGCAGTTCAAGGCCGCCGAACAAGGCGCCATTCCCTTTGGTATTATCCTTGGCGAGGAAGAGCTCGCTGCTGGCAAGTGCCGTATCAAGGAGATGGGTCTGCCCGACGGACACCCCGAGAAGGAGGGTGTCGAGGTTGAGATTTCCTCCCTGGTTCCCGAGCTTCAAACCCGTCTTGCTAAGAAGCAGCAAGGTGCTGTCTCCTCTCTGGCACAGCAGCTGCAGGGCACCAGTGTTTGATCAATTAAACAGTTGTCAGTTGTGGGTGTGCATTTTTCATTTTGTTTTCCTTTTAGAGCGTGTTTTTTCCAGATGGGTTCTTTCTATGTTACCCTAAAATTATGTAGATCTCTTGCATTGTCGGGCTTGGAGCTCGACGGCCTATCAAAAGGACTGGGGGTTATTGTTGAGAGAAAAGAACTAAAGATATTTTTTCAAATGAGGGTTGATGTCTTTAGAGGAATTACCAAAATACCCAATTCATTGCATTTCCCTTCGCTTTGGTTTGATACAGGTTGTAGCATATATTCGACTCTTTCAAGACGATTCAAGCCATGTTTGAAAAGAGTAAAGGCACATCACATCACAACTTAGTATAGAAAAGGCTTATAAAACGACTAGAAGTACAATACAAAAGAAGAAAAAGACCATACATATACACACCCTCAACAACATCACCCTAATACCCCTCAGCATTCTTCATCAAGAACGACTTAACAAAAGGCAACCGATCAACGACACCTAGTCCGAGACTACGCGCCCAAGTAATAGGCCCTTCACCGGGAACATTATACATTTTATGCAGAAGATCGCAAGCACCCCCGATCTTCGCATTAGGCAGGTACCGCTCAGACGAGTATCGCTCGAGAGTAAGCAAGTCACCTACATCCATACCATGCGAGACAGCATACTGAATAGTCTTCGATAGCGAAGCAACATCCGCCAGACCGAGGTTTAGACCCTGTCCAGCGAGCGGGTGGATGACATGCGCTGCGTCGCCGACGAGCGCAATACGCGGCGAGACGTACTGTGCTGCGTGTCTGAAGCGCAGTGGGAAGGAAGCGACTGTCCCTGTCTGCACGGCTGTTGCTGGGGGAGGGGTTTGGGATGGGAGTTGGGTGTGCTGGACGCGCCAGGTGAGTTCGTCTTGGTGGGAGTGGGTTGCATCGGAAGAAGAGGAAGATGAGGATTGCATGCCCATCATGTAGGTTAGATCTGTCATGTCGAGACGGAAGGCTGCGTTGACCATGGCGAGGAAGGCCGGGGTTGGGAGGGACTTTAGGTAAGCTGCGTTCTCGGGTGTTGTTGACCAGACGAGGGTTGCGTGGTTATTTGGCAGGGGGGAGGAGGGCGATTGGTCCGCCGAGTGCGGGGAGGAAGCGCTGGTAGGCTGTGCGCTTTGAGGCTGGGAAGGGCTGGGTTGCTGGGTCTGCGAGAGCGAGGGATGCGACGATGCCGTGGCGGCCGTAGTCCCAGCCTTGGGTTGGGATGTCTGCGAAGGAGCGGACGGGGCTGTTGATTCCGTCTGCGCCGACGAGGAGACGGGCGGCAATGCGCTTTGGTGTCTCTGTTTCCGCGGCTGGGCCTGTGGGCTTGACGGTGAGGACTGGCCAGGCTGAGAGATCCGGACCTTCGGGTTTGAGGTCTGAGCCGTTTTCGATGGAGGCGACTGTGGAGTTTGAGAAGAGGGAGAGGTTCTCGTCTCCTGAGTCGGCGATTCGGCGCAGTAGAGCGCGTACCAGGTTCGAGTTCTCGGTCATTGTTGCTACGGTGCGCATTTCTTCGAATGGGGATGTCTCCATTGACCAATCGAATGATATTCGGGATCCGGTTTGGCCGTCCCAGACCTGCATGTCTTGGTATTCTTGCACGCGATTGACATCGAGCTGATCGTACGCGCCAATGCTACGCAGGAATGACACGGTCGAGGGGGTCAAGCTGCTGACTCTGTTGGAGAACTGGTTCGGTTCGAGGTCCCAGGCTTTGGCTTTGCGAAGATCTTGGCTCTCAATGAGGGCGACTTTGAGCTTTGAGGTGATAGGTGATGCCCCTGTAGTAACATTGTATCAGTATATGCCCTGATTATCTGCATTGTGTTATACATACGAAGTGCGGCCAATAGCCCTAGGCCTGCGGGCCCGCCTCCAACACAAACCACATCGTAGAGCTCAGGGGAATCTGATTTAGACCCAAATCGCCGCCGACCGGCGGTAATTCCATGCCGGCAGGTTGGGCACACATACGGTCGAAGGACGGCTCTGGAGATTGGACGCATTGTGTTTGGTGATCCATTGGAAGTTGAATCGGATGATCGAAGATGGACATGCAGTGCAAACAGTACAAACAATATTAACTGCGCATACAGCTCCGGGATTAACGCTGCTGATATGAATCCATCTCTTCTTTTTCATGGCCCTCGACTTTTCTAATACATGAAAGTTTAGATCATCGATGTTTTTACTTCATTTGCTATAAATTTGACTCCCTGAGTTACTGCGTATCTGAATGAAGAGGTATGATGGTATTGCGGGTATGAAACGCGGAATAAGTTAGCGAAAGCAACAGACATGAACTGCTATAACAGACTTGGCCTGGGTAATAACCCAAGCATGCTAAGACTGAGATAGCTAAATGGCTCCGATAGCAGCCGCATCAGAGTCATGCCCGGGCTCAACTTCGCTCTCCATCTCTGCTACAAACCGTTCCCATGTAGAGAGCACGCCCTGGTAGAACTCGATGTGTGAATCGGCAAAGGAACCAAGTCCATCCCGGAACTCGACCGCCTTGATACGTTCAAAATCTGCGACTTCGCGGATAACCTCCTCGTCAAACATCTCGGATGTAGTCTTGGCGGACTCGACCTCGCGGGTCAATTCGTCAATGCGGAGTTCAAGCTTTCGTACACGCTCGCGGCGGGACTGTTCATGGTCGACGCCACGCATGTCCTCCATTTTGGAGCGGATGAAAGATGCTGGGGAGGAGGTGAGCGGGTTTGAGGCGTAGTAAGCAGCTGGGTTGGCAGCCAGAGAGTCACGCTCGGTCACGGCTTTATTGCGGTAATCGACCAAGGCTTCGAAATCGAGCTGTTTCTGTTCGCGTGTCTTCAGCAGGGACTTGAGGGACATGATGTACGACTCAGTATCGCGCAGCGATCCTAGATAGTTCTGGTCGGTGTGGTCCTTCAAGCCACGCATCCCGCGCGCGGTCTCTTCCACTGAAGCTGCGAAGACCTGCAGTGGCATCTCAATAGCAGGCTCTAACGGGACAAGTTTGCGGAACTGTGTCGCTAGTTCGGCATAGTCTGTCTCCAGATCGGATTCACGCCGCGCAACCCGTGCCACGGTCTTCTCCACATGGGACAGGTCTTCGTCTAGCTTATCAGCCTTCTCTCGCACCTCGATAAAGCGCCGGTCCGGCTTGTGCACTTTAGAGAAGGCGTTGACAAAGGAATCAGTAAAGTTATCGAAGATACCAGTAGCCGCACCCTCCGACCCGGTATTTGTTGATACCCGTGTTGAGTGCAGGCGCATATGCGCATTCCAGTCCGGCGATTCCAAGAAGATAGTGAGAAGAGGCGCCCGTCGAAGTACAGGGTGAAGCGTCAAACGTTTCAAGAATCGATGCAGCGACCAAGCTCGTCGCGTTGTGAACTCCGGGCCGAACCGGTCTCCCCGCACATACTCCATCTTGTGCTTGTCCGGGAGCGGCGGCACCGCGCATGCTGGGTATTCGCGATAGAGCGTCTTGTATAGGAAGAAGAAGTCGGTGAAGCGCCTCCGAACAGTAAATTCGGGTTTCTGGAATGATTTGAAGTCGGTCTAAATATGTCAGCTATGGTCTTGTTGGGAAGATACAGATGTGAAGAGGTCAAGGCAGCAGTTGCACCTCAACACCCCGACAGTATATGAAGAAGAAAGCATACATGTGTGGTAACCAGGTACGATATATATGCATCTTTGGTCCCGTCATTTTCTTTGAGCGGAGAGTCAACTTGGCACTCAAGAACTCCATCGCCGATGCCCGCCAGGTCAACGGCGTCAGCTAGCGGGCCGGCCTGGGGCTCTTCTTGGGCAGAGCTCATTCTCCGCTTGCCATTGGAGTCGTGATGAGTTTCACTGGGTTCTGCAGCATCTGTACTTGCAGTTGTTGGCCGTGAGATGTCACTGTCTGGGTCGTGCTTCCAAGACACACTATCAAAGTCATCATGTTGATCCATCGTGGGGTTATCGGTCGGCCGTGGTCAACCGGCTGATAGTTGTTGGAACCCCAGTAATGCTGATGAATCAATAGTTGTAGGAAATGTTTGATCAAGTAGGGATAGGGACTGAAAAGGTCAAAGAGATGGAATGGAGGGGGAAGTTTGTAGGTTGGAGGTTGGAGCTGAGTTCAATGATCGCCTTTCCCCAAGGCGGAGTTCCCGAAGCGGAACGTCATCATCGCTTTTATTATTAGAATCAACACGGTCCCTGGCAAAGATTGGATTGTTAAAGATGATACAGCACACAGTTCATGCTTTTTATCACCTTCACATACATCAAAAGAAGACATCTTAAAAGAGCCATCCAAAAACACACCGGAGTGTTCTTACATATAACGTCCCCGATATCATTCCAGCCTAAATAGATCATACGCTGCATGAGCTACTCACTATTCTAGTAATTCTTCAAGAATTGCTTCAAATCTGATAGAACGATCTTTTTATAGTATGCACAGCACGCTTTTGGATTCCTGTCAAATGGTAGATGTACAGATCCTAGTATCCCTACCCGGACCCCGTCTATTTCTGGTTACGGATCTCCAATTCAACAACCAAGTCAATATAGCGATCAACAACACCGAACAAGATGCAAAATGACTATCGACATTAGATTAAGGTTTTTCCTGATGAGGGCCACCATGGGACGTTCCATCTTGTCCATCCTTTTCCTGGGTATTGGCCAACCCATCACGATATGGCTCATCATCATCACTGAACATTTCCTCGTCACTCTCTCCAGCGAACGCATTATATAGTTCACCACCACGACGCTGTGTTCGACCAGATGCTCCAGTCATCGGTTGCATCTCATCCTCATCCTCAATCATTTCAAACTCGTAGTCGTCGTGAGCAGTGGTGCGACGACGCTTGATTCTCTGCAGCTGGAAGTACACACCCAATCCAATGAAGAAGGTGATGATCATGGCCAAGGATGCATAAACCCAAATCTGTGTGCGCTTTGAGGCACCAAACGTGGGAAGCCAGGACGATATATAGCCCGAGTCGGCAGATGAAGGGGAGGAGGTTTCAGCTTCACTACCGGTAGTATTGGTGGGATTCTTCAAATCTTCAAGTGGCGTGGGCTCAGCCGGCGTGGGCTTTGTGGATGTTGGCTTTGGCTTTGCGTTCACGGGCCGGTCATGATGATCATCCGGGTTGGCAGGGGTTGGGGTCTTCGTTGGAGCCGACGTAATGCTAGTCGTGGCTACAGGAGCATCCTCGTATGTATGGTCGTCGTCATGCTCATCGGGCAGGGGGTGAAGCTTTTGTTTAGCTGCATCGGCGGCCTCACCCCACAGATTGAGTCGCCAATCAATGAATGTACCAGAGTATTCATTGACATTGGAGTCTTTCACGACGATAGACCACTCGCCAATAGGAGACTCACCCCTAAAAATAAATTAGCAAAAACATATATCATGGAATTAAGGATGCATACCAATGAGCAACAGACATAAAAGTCCAATCCTCGTATCCAACTGGCATATTGTCCTTTTCACGGGCAACGCTCAGGTAGCTCACGATTCCGCCGGGGCTGTGCAGCTCAACGCTGATATCACCGCGGCGGGTGTGATTGACATTCATAGTCACAGTGACATGTTCCAATTTGGCGACATTGGCCTCCTTCAATTGATCAGCAGTGACTGCATAGCGACTGAGCAACCCCTGACTACCCTGGGGAATGTCTTGATGCACTCGCAGCCATGGCGAGTGGAGCCACGCTTGTGGCTTCACGAGATCCCATGTCTTAGCAAGCTGGACCATGGTATATGTATCAACCTTTCCGAAACCCCAGTCATGGCTGAATTTGCGGCCAGAGGGCAGGACCTGCCAACTACCGTCGTCCTCGCTCACGGGGATCGCCGTCTCCACCATCAAGTATTGTAAATCACGCCAAGTCAGCTCTGGGCGTGCACTGAGCGCGAGCGCCACGCTGCCTGCTGCCAGGGGACCAGCCGCAGAGGTACCACCATGCCCGGAGAAACACTTGTTAGCACCCACGTCGGTAGTGTGAATATAATCGCCCGAGCCGCTACTGTATGCGACCACCAGTTGGGCCGAGCATGACTCGGAGTAAGAAGGGTGCTTCCCTTCTCGGTCAATGGCACCCACTGTAATACTGTAGATACTGTTGGTATATCCATCGAAGTTACAGTTGTCTCCGGAGGCTGCACCGTTACCGGCGGCAAAGACATATACTGAGCCTTTACCCCCTCTGCCCTTTTGGATACCATTGGCTATGGCTCGCTTGATCAAGATTCCAGGCGCATCCATAGTAGCACCGTCGTCGAAGGGGCCCCATGAACATGAATATATGTCATTCTTTTGGTAGGCGAAGTTGATAGCCGCCGCTTCATCGACATCATCGATAGGCTTGGACAGGATCCGGATGCCGGCTATCTTGCTATCGTATGCAACACCAACTCCACAAACATCGTTCTTTGCCGCCGCGATTTCGCCGCAGCATCGAGTACCATGCTTATCGTCAAGGAGAAGAGGGCGGGGATCCGGGAGTCCCTCGTTGAAATCCCAAGAGCCCTCTGGCAGGTAGTTGGGCTTGAGATCATTGCTATCCATGTCCAGCCCATCGTCGACAACCGCGGTGGCAACGCCCTTGCCGGTTATCCCCTCCAACCACAATCCTGTCACATTGAGATCGTTTCCGGGCTGCAATGTGTTGAGAAGGTGCCACTGTTCTCTGAAGATCGGGTCAGTAATCCCTAGAGATGACATGGCATTCTTCTGTAAAGCAACGGCCTGCGCATTGTCCCTCTTGTCCAGCGTTTTGTAGGGTACGGTAACCGGCGGAAGTCGTTTCTGCAATCGTTGTCTTGCTGGAGCAATCTTATGCGACCACAGAATCTTGTCTAGGGGATCATCACTTGCCCCACGCGAATCGATTCCAACATCGGAGCGTCGCCGGAGCTTTCGCCTGGTTCTTAAATCGTTCAACAAGGTGTCGAACTGAGCCGTCTGCTCCCGCGGTAATGAGAAAGTATGGTGGCCATCCAGTTGGCCAATCTGGCCCTCGTGGCGTGCGCCGAGGACTTGTGCGATGTGGGAGGGAGAGGTGGTATCATCGAGGTGGAGGGCGAAGAAGTCGCGGGTTTCTTGAGAGCGAGGGTGTAGGTTTGCGGACACTGCACCAGCAAGGCCCAGGGTGGCGGTGATGCCACTGACAATGCGCATGATGAGGAATCGATTGTTTTCGGTCGAGGAAAGGGATTAAGGGAGGGTTGTGAGGATCGAGGTGTCTAGCATGCGGTTGCCATCAACAGTTCCGGACCATTGAATAACAACTCGCTGAGTTGTAGTAAGGGGTATAAGCGGACAAAAAGGAAATAAACTCCAACAAGGCTATTTCCAAGGTTTCAAAATAGTTGTTAAGAGGAGGTTGTCACAATTTCCAGACACCAAGTTGTAGGCAAATAGGAGGATCGTCAAGAGGCCACCCACACGGGATCCTATTCAGGCTCCTAACAGGCCTATTGAGCTCGACTTAGCGTACTGTGTATTATGCGGACAACCTATGTTAAATTTCTTTTTCTTTATTAATTATCAAAGACGTTTTGAAACTATCTAAGGCCACGGTTTCTACTTCGTACTTTGTCGTAGTTCTAGATATTATTTACTTGCCTACAACATAACTGCACCTGGGCAGGTGACTTAGCTTACGTAGGTGCGGCCTCGTCCTGGCATACAACATACAACATACGCACAAATGCCAACGGTTGGCAGAAAGGATATTATCATTATTGAAATTGAAATTGATGCCTCAATTACACCGTACTGCTTAGTATTTTCAACTGCAGAAAATCAAATAGTTCAAGTCCTTGCATGAACAACATAGACTTGCTTGGGTTTTCCTATTTACTTCCAACCTCTTGCCGCTTTATGTTGGGTAGACCTGAGCACGGCCTGGGGTAGCACAGTAGCCTAATCCTAGACTAAAAGTTACCCAGTCACCGAGAGTACTTAAAAGCGGCACCTGAAATAGGATAGGCAAACAACAGAACATTGAGCTAGTTACTTAGTTACTACCATAATAATACTAGTAAGAAAACATTCAAATCCGATGGGCTTATGGAATCTTCCGACAGAATTGGTACAAGCCATTACGGATCTTTTGAGCGAAAAGGATGTTTCGGTGTTCGCTCAGCTGAATCGCCAATTTTTCGATATCTTAATCGACTACCTTTACGCTCGCAATGCAACGAGATCCAATGCGTCAGCCCTGCTATGGGCAGCAGACAAAGGCTATGAGTCAACCGCCCGACAAGCGCTCGCCAATGGAGCCAAGCCCTCAGCAACGAACCGCAAGGGCGACACTTCTCTCCACCTAGCCACAAACGCAGGAAATCTAAGCATGGCTCGATTCCTACTAAATGCCGGAGTGGATGTCAATCAGCAGAACAAATATTCGGAAATCCCGCTCAGTGCACCAGCCAGAGACGGCAACAAAGAACTGGTAAAATTACTTCTTGATCAACCAGGGATCGACCCTGATGTGTTGGGCCGTGCCCGAATTCGCCCCCCAAGGCTCCAGGGACAGACTCCATTATCATATGCTGCCATGAATGGTCACGTTGACGTTCTGAAGATTCTTCTTGCTACAAACCGGGTGAATATCGAGTCGAAGGATTCGCGTGGCTGGACGCCGCTGGCATACGCAGCAGCGCATGGACAGGCTGAGGTGATGGAGGTTTTGATCAACGTTCCAGGGATTCAGCTCGAATCGAGAGCACAATGGGGCATAACACCATTGATGCTGGCTGTGATTCATGGCCACGAGGCTGTAGCCAGGATTCTCATCGAACAGGAATCCGTCAAAGGCGATGCTAAATGCGACGGCGAATCTACAGCTCTTTGGTTTGCGGTTGTGCATGGTCACTCAAATATTGCCAAGCTGCTCTTGGAAAAAGGATGCAACCCTCATTGCCCCTGCCACATGGGCAGTACACCGTTTTTGCTAGCTATCAATAATGGACAGGAGGAGATTGTGAAATGGTTGCAACAGTCAGGCCACCAGCTAAGGGTTCCGCTTGATCCCGTAGAACGGAGGAAACAAATGATAGCAAATTTGAACGCTATAGAGAAATTTACAATGGGCAGTCGACGGCGTCCCGAGTGATACTAATTCAAACTATCCTAGCAGAGTTGCTTCCCTATTTAATCTCTTGCTCACAAATCACAAGTCACTTTCGAACCTCCGTCTATCCCAACCACTCGTCTAATCTAGGCCTTCTATTAAAGAATGAAGCCCGTTTTTTACCACCCATTCCTGCAGAAAATACCAGTATGCCACAGCAAAGTAGGCGTACGTTTGCGCATTCATCGTAGCCACGAAGCTGTCCACAGGTGTTCCATCTGTGGTATGGAATCCCCTACCTGTAAGCCAGAGGACCTCGTCTAGTGCATCTAATATAGATTAGTAACTATGTGCGTATGGAAACACTAACTAACTAGCGGGGCCCAAGTTGGACTCATATGTCACATCTCCCACCATGTCTTTCTGGTCATCCTCATCCAAACACCATGCCGTGACGAGATGGGCCAACTCGTGCAACGTCATGGCACTTTTTGGCATAACATCTTCGAGAAGAAAGTCGTCATTTTCGGGATTTGTGGGGTCAACATAAGAGGTTCTATCAAGCGAGGCCCTCCAGGGCGTGTCATCCGTTACAAGTTCGGGGCATAGTATGACTCTATCTGGGAAGGAAGAGATAGCCACAGCGTCTCCAGTTTTGTAGATCTCCGCGATCTCCACATTACCCGGCACTGTAGCACCTGCAACCGTCGACTCCCCTACTATGTAATTGCGGATGTTTCCCGGTGACGACTTTGGCAGGAACACATAACCCATGTGTTGCTCGACCCAGTAGGGCTCCGTGGAACCAACGTTCTCGAAGTCTTCGTAGATATTCAGAATTCTCGGGATGAACTCGTCCTCCTCGTCATCATCTTCCTCGAGAACGATCGTCTTCCCTACGCGATCCTTTGCCTCAGCAAAGGGAACCGATTGCCGAAGTTGCCGTTGCAGAAAAGCCAAGGTCTATCCGTACTGGGACGGTCATAGTTTTCCAGTTGTTAAAAAGGAATATACCTAGGTAACCGATTTGTGGTGGCTGTGGCTATTGATATTCACTCCTTTTTTATTCTCGACTTGGCAAGATATAGTTAAGTCAGGTTATACGCCGTACACAGAGCGGAAAGAGTCCCATGTCTCCAAACTCCCAGCCTCAAAGCGGCCTGGGACAGGGCTAAACCAAAACGGGGGGGTGAGGGCGCCAAACCCGAAGGGGTAAGGAGATGGTGGAGACGGGAAGGCGGTCGAGGACGGCAGAGGGGCGGTGCAATGAGAGCCGTTTCCAGCGCTCACCGTGTCAACTAATACTTAGCTAGGTAGGGAGTAGTTATATGCAATAATCATGTTCTAGTTAACCATGAAACATTTGTAGTTCCCTAGTATCCAGGTACTTCTAAGTATGTTCGTACTCCGTAGGTAAACATGTAGGTCTAACAATAGTTCATTCCAGTCCAAATTTAAGGATTATGCTTAATTCTTTATTGCTATCCTTCTATCCTTCACTTTTTGGATAGTTAACTATTTTATATTTATTCTAACGTACGATCGTGCATAAGTATTGCTTCTCCAGGGATCAAAGCCCTTGATAAAGCCTTCGTATAACAATGGCCCCGCGCGAAGGCTGGGGATAACCAGCCACCGGGATATCGGATGTATAGACCTTGCCTTGTTTTATTTTTATTTTTATTTTATTGTTGGTTTGCTGGGATTGATTGAAATCTTTTTCTTCTTTTTCATCTCATCTTCTACCATCCCATTGACACACCTCTATCCTGGCGTTGACCTGTTCGCCTTTTATACCGGCCAACTTCCCTGTCACACCCGCGTGGACCTATACCCCCGCCCAACTTGACTTGTTGCCTGCGAATCAGCTCGGGCCATGGTGTAGTGACCCTACGTTAGGCATCACATCAAATCGCATTGAACCCCTTTCATCTATTTCGAGAAAAACCAAGTACGGCAATTTCCCCTTAATCTGCTCGCGTTGCCTTTGGGACCGACATTAACGATATTGGTTCCAGTTGGGTTCGCAATTGCACATACTTGGCGCCCTATCTACGCACTTTGTTTTTTTCTCGATTAGTTCCTTGAGTTTGGGCACAAATACACAACATCATGGCTGCTACGGCAATGCGTGGATCGCCCGATATGGCAAACGGAAGCTCGAACCCCCACATTGCCAACGGAGCGCAAAGAGCTCAAGGAAGGCGCAATCGCAAAAAGGCCCCTTCCACGGAAAGCTATGAACACGAGGCAGAACATGATGAGCCAGAGACAGCTCACACCAGCGAAAGACCTGCCCATCTGTCAGGGCAGGTAGACAGGTCTTTCTCAGCAAGAGCCCGAAATCAACCTAAGGGAAACCCGAGCTATACAACCCGCAAGGCAATTCCTCCATCGACCTCCAAATTATCAGAAGAATCTACCACACCCCGAGGTCTTCCCACAGAGCTCTATTCTCCGGAACCCAGTGCAGCCATGCCTGAGATTCATGTGCAGTCACCACCGCCTGCACCGGCTGTGTCTTCGCCCCCGACTCGGTCCAACACCACACGTTCGGTCTCCGCCAGTGACTCGCGGAAAGATTGGGCATCAGAGCGATCGCCTCTTCAAAAGTTGGAAGTAACTTTGACTGGAATCAGCAAGGAAGAGAAGCGGGCACGAGTACAACAGGCGGAAATCAAAGCCCGGGAGCGAATGGCACGCAAGAAAGCCGAACAAGAGAAAGCCGAATTGGCGGCAGCAGTGGCTCGCGAAGCATCCACACAACGTGCGCAGCCAGAAAATCAACCAACCTCTGGCGCAGCCAAAAGGAATGAGCGGAAGGAAATTCCAATTGGGGATGGCATGCGAAATAAACCACCACAACAGCGACAACCAGAAAATACAGCTGTGCGTCACAGCAGGACAGTTTCTACAAATCCTCAGTACCCATCTATCCGCCGCCCCGAGGATCCTCAATATACGCGCGCGGAAGCCGCTATCCCATCATCAGCTAAGATGGGCAATGTGCCTAGACGATCAGTCACAGTGAGCGGGCCTGCCGCAAAACCAACATCTGCCAGCAATATCAACCACAGTCGCTCGATGTCTCAAGCAGGCCCTCGACCTACGCAGGTTCCTGGTGCCTTAAGAGCGGAGACAACAGACGAACTTTTAACACCACCCGGTGCGCCTCAGGATAGTGCCGAGTCGCAGGTCAAGCCCAAGAAACAGTCTGTGTCTTTCAATGTTCCACCGCCTACTCCCCCGCCAATCTTTGAGTGGAGGAATGCACAGCCTGCGCGGCTTGCGGCCCCTGACTTTGATTTCCAGAATTTTGACATGGAGCGCAGCAAAGCGTGGTGGGAAGGTGGCGGTAACAAAGACCGTAGAAAGAGCAGGGCTCTTCCTAAGAACTACAAGTCTCCTGCTCAGAAATTGACAGGTAAGGTCCTCCGCTATCCTGGTTTTGAAGCTACATTCCTTGTCATGAAATCACGAAATGAATTTATTAACACTCGCTAGGAGTAACTGAGCACAAGAGCTTCCAACCCAACCTCTTCATGCGATGCGGACCTTTGCTACGATACACAGGTATCAAGCGAGCAAGGGTTGACGGAGTCAGCGGCCCCATTGACAAGGATATATGGCGAGGATCTATCATGATAGTGACTAAAGATTCTCGCTCCTCCTACGAGACTCCACCCACACTGAGACTATTCTCTCAGCCGATGGATCTTCTTCCTCCTCCACCCGTGGAGATCAGCCATGAAGATGGAATGCAACTGGCTCCCGAATATGTCGATCCAACAGCCGGGCTCATGAAGGTTGGCCGTGATGGTCGGCCCCTTTACGTGAAACCAGTTGAACATGTCGAGGAACAAGTCGACCTATCGTTTATCGAGAATGACGATGGCATCTATGAGCTCTCACCTAGCATGATCGACTATACCAGCGAAGGCGTCAAACAACCTATGCCTTCCAACCGGATGCATGCCGTCGACGGCGAGACGGCGAGTCTGCACCGAGACATCCCAGGAGCCCGTCTATACGCCGATGCCGCAAGAGACGTGACATTCTGGCGATTCGATCTAGAGGTTGAACTTGGTACAGCACAGCAGCGTATCGCCTATCGGATCAACCAGGGGCCAGCCTTGGGATTCTGGGTGCCCCCTGCTGGAGAATCCATGAATATAATGTTCCACAGTGGTAACGGGTTCACTCCCTCTGCGGACTCTGATCGAGTCTGCGGACCTGACCCGCTTTGGAGAGATATTCTTAACGAGCATCAGACTCGTCCGTTCCATGTGATGATCGGTGGAGGCGACCAAATCTTCAACGACGCGGGTATTACAGAGTCACCGTCCTTCCAGGAATGGATTAAGATTAAAAACGCTGCCGAGAGATACGGAGCATCATTCACTGCCGAATTCCGGGCTGAATTGGAGCAGTTCTACCTCGAGCGCTATGCTGCATGGTTCTCCCAAGGCCTCTTTTCTTTGGCGAACTCTCAGATTCCTATGGTCAACATGTGGAACGATCATGAAATCTTTGAAGGCTTTGGTTCTTACCATGATGATTTCATGCAGACTGCTGTTATTTCTGGAATTGGAAAGATTGCTTTCAAGTATTACCTGCTGTTCCAGCACCACAGTGTCCCCGATGAAACCGAGGCAGACGAACCCAGCTGGCTTCTTGGTGCTCATCCTGGTCCATATATTGAACAGCAAAGCCGAAACCTGTTCATGTCTCTTGGCCAAGGAGTTTCATTCTTGGGTCTTGACTGCCGCACTGAGCGACGGGTAAGTTTACTCCGATTTTCCGACTTGATGTCTATGCTAACACGTTCTTCCAGAGCAATGAGGTTCTCAGCGAAGAGACCTGTGATTTGTTATGGGACCGCTGCCACAAGGAGATTATGAAAGGAGAGACAAAGCACTTGATCGTTCTTTCAAGTGTTCCTGTTGCCTATCCTCGAGTGGTATGTAATCTGCTTTCTTCTGTCTTTGACCAAACCCAAAACTAACGTTGACTACAGGCAATGCTCCGCAATTTCATGAATAGCCGCAAGTCGCTCGGTAAGGCTGGAGTACTTGGTGGGCTTGTAAACCGATCTGGTGGGAACGTGGAGGTCTTTGATGACCATTGGGCTGGCAAGCACCTCAAGTCCGAGCGCACATGGTTGGTTGAGGATCTTCAGGATCTGGCCGCAGAAAAGTCAGTCCGGATCACAATACTCAGGTAAGACCAGTAAATTTGCTTAACGAAAACCAACATTCCGAACGTTGAAACTAACTCAATCCTTCAGTGGTGATGTCCACCTCGCTGCAGTCGGGCAGTTCTATTCGAATCCTAAATTGAATATCGCCAAAGACCAGGATTATCGGTACATGCCGAATGTCATCTCATCTGCTATTGCAGACATTCCGGAGACCGATCTCATTGCGGATATGCTCAACAAACGGAATACAGTCCACCACATGGACTCGAACACAGACGAGGATGTCGTCCCCATCTTTATCCAAGATGTGAATGGCAAGGCCCGAAACAACAAACGACTACTCCCTCGGCGAAACTGGTGTTCGATCCGTGAATATAAGCCCGGTTCTACTCCACCGGATACACCTGAGTCGGAAACGACAGAGACTCCACCAGCTCGGCCAAATATGCTGCAGCGAACATTGTCCCTGGGTCGTGGAGACAAGGGGTCTACCGAAAAGCCTGGTATTCTCAGGCGCCTTTCCACTCGTGGACCACCTCCTACGAGGACCATGAGTTTCAATCGAGGCGACGAGGCCGCTTTCAATCGACGTGCAAGTGTGGACGGACCGGTCCAGCCCCACGAGAACGGGGACAGCTACTTCCCAGGAACTGGGGCCGGCGCACCTCCAAGACCCGGTAACTTCCACCGACGACTGACAAGTCTCAGCCAAAAGGCGGCAAAGAAAACCGCGAAGCAGGGCGATGACGGCGCAGGCGTCTACATCAACCTCGAAGGTGGGCTCGCCATCACTCTGAACTTAGAGATCAGCCCACAAGACCCATCGGGTGTCACCACACCCTACAAACTGCTCGTTCCAGCACTTCACTACAACGGAACCGAGTACGACCCGCCCCCAGCGCAGATTGTCAAGGGCTGGAGAAAGTTCCTGCCCCGCCGCAAAAAGAACAACGGAGAAGCAGATGCACAGCCTGAAGCAGAAGAAGATTACAGTGATGACGATGAACAAGACGATTACGAAGACCATGACCTGATCAATAATACCCGGGCTAACGCCGCCACTAGCCAACAACATCAACCACAGTACGAGGGATATCCTGGGAGTGAAGAGGAGGATGGAGATTCTGATGGAGAAGTCCCTCAACGTCTGCCACCGAATATGATGGCTGAACATTCTCCCAGCCCCGAGGAGCATACCCGCCCACGAAAGAAGTGGTTCGGCGTAATCTAATGTACTATATTAACATCATTGTGTCATTGACGTTGGCTGGTGACATTTACTTTTTGCGATCTGAGGATTTGTACGGATTTTATGACTTTAGTATGATCGTGCTTTTTGTGTTTGATATATGATTCCCCTAAGTTTAGCGAGATTCAAACTGACATGTGATGTTCATTCTATCAATCGATCTCTCAAGTAAAGCCGAAGTATACAAATTCGGGCCGGAAGAAGTTGCCTCGGTGGGCCACGGGTGACCTGATGAGATTACATCAGCGGTCTCGACCGCTCACGTGATATCTGCTTAGAAAGCCCCGGAGCCTCGATGCGCAACCTGATTCAGCCGATTCGGATTGCCTTGAAATCGCCTTAAATCGCCAAGTTTAAACGAATTATCTCTAATATCCTCTGGTCTGGAAACCTCGGAAATACAAAGAATCCAATCGCATCCCGTACTAAAGGGTCCAGTCTCCCTGATCTCATTGACGGTTTATCAATCAACTTCACCTATCACCTAATAATCCCGGTCTCCACTGCCCCTCCGTGAAAAGATATTATAACTCCCCTCCCTCTCCTCTTCTTCCTCCACTTCCCAGAAATACCTTCAAGCTGTTTTCCTCCGCCTTTCGTCGTTTTCCCTCCCTTCGATCCATTGGATTGACTGCCACTGCGGCCACTACCGTTCACCAACAATCTCCTCCTTCGGCCTCGGTCTTCTCTAAGTCGTTTCCGACGCCGTTGCGCGTCAATTCAAACACCGCCAGAATGGTGCACTCTCAAGTAGTCGGTAAGTGGTTTATCAGTGGATCGAATGATCCAAATCACGCAAATTCCCCCAATATCAATGTTCTAACCGATTCACCCCACAGTTATCGGCTCCGGCCCTGGTGCCCACACTGCCGCTATCTATCTCTCACGCGCAGAACTCCAGCCAGTCCTCTACGAGGGCATGCTCGCCAACGGCACCGCCGCCGGTGGTCAACTTACTACGACCACCGATGTTGAGAACTTCCCTGGATTCCCCAACGGCATCGGCGGCGCCGAGCTGATGGACAACATGCGCGCACAGTCCGAGCGCTTCGGCACCGAGATCATCACCGAGACCATCTCAAAGCTTGACCTCTCCTCCCGGCCCTTCAAGATGTGGACCGAGTGGAACGACGACGAGGGCAGCGAGCCAGTCCGCACCGCCGACGCTGTCATCATCGCCACAGGCGCCAACGCCCGCCGTCTCAACCTCCCCGGCGAGGAGACCTTCTGGCAAAACGGAATCAGTGCCTGTGCCGTCTGTGACGGTGCCGTGCCCATTTTCCGTAACAAGCCCCTCTACGTCATTGGCGGTGGTGACTCCGCCGCCGAGGAGGCCATGTTCCTCGCCAAGTACGGTAGCAACGTCACTGTTCTCGTTCGCAGGGACAAGCTCCGTGCCTCTAAGGTCATGGCTGACCGTCTCCTTGCCCACCCCAAGTGCAAGGTCCGCTTCAACACTGTCGCCACTGAGGTTATCGGTGAGAACAAGCCTAACGGTCTCATGACACACCTCCGTGTCAAGGATGTTGTCTCTAACGCCGAAGAGGTCGTTGATGCCAACGGTCTCTTCTACGCTGTTGGTCACGACCCCGCCAACGCTCTCGTCAAGGGACAGGTTGAGCTCGATGACGAGGGTTACATCGTCACCAAGCCCGGTACCAGCTTCACTAACATCGAGGGTGTCTTCGCCTGCGGTGATGTTCAGGATAAGCGTTACCGCCAGGCTATCACCAGTGCCGGTATGTTCATACTCCACCATTACCAATTATAATAACTGCATTTTGCTAACTCAATTCAACAGGATCTGGCTGTGTCGCCGCCCTCGAGGCCGAAAAGTTCCTCTCCGAGACAGAGACTCACCAGGAGGCCAAGCCTGTTCTCTAAATACATATACACCTATTCTCCCACTTTTCTCTTCCGTTTCTCGTTGCTATGATACATGAAAACATGATGTTTGGCCGGTGTGTCGAGGATTCTTCCTGCTTCTAGACTTGTATCTGTTTTATGCGATATCTGATTTCTAAATTCCCCGTGCATATTTTAGATGGGATTTTCTTGCGTCTTTTTTTCTTTTTACTTTTTCTTGTTTCCTTTTCCAGTTACCTGCATCTCATGGAAGAGGAAGTCAAGTGGTCTTTGGTTTTATATCAGTTCGTCTGCTTTGGGATGCCTATACCCATAGAAATAGAAGAAAAAGAAAACCTCCCATATCATCTTCCGCACCTTTACAACCTTTCAAAGTTCTGTTAACTATTTGTCTACATAAGTAAGACCATTTGAATTAAAACTGTTATTCATTGATATCAATAAGGCTGAAAAAATACTCATCACAAATAGTCGCTCAATAGAGACGAAATTACCCATCTTTCCCTTAACTGTCTACGCAGATAGTCTACCCATTAACGATAAAAATCCTCATTTCTCAGACTTCACAGCAGACACATTCGTAAAGGCGGTAGCAAGCACCGGCACCGACGGCGCATTTTCAGTAAGATGTTCCGGCACAACCCAATCATCGAACGGGTTTTCTGCACACCAGCGATCCTTGACGATGAAAGTCTTCCGCTCCCACTCAGCAACGTCAACCTTCCACTTATCCCAAGCCTCCGCATTAGCACGACGGTTGATCTCCGTCTGCTCAAGGTATGGGGATTTTTCGGCTGGCGTTGCAGAGCGCCACATCTGGCCCAGCGCGGCGCGGATCTCGTCACGTGGAGCCTTTGCGTTGGGGTTGTTTGATGCTGCGCGGCGGGCTTCGTCGCATTGGTCGCGGCAGCGCGCCCAATAGTCTTTTTGGTAGAAGAGGAAGGGGTTTAGGCCGGATTTTGCGGGGCGTGGTGGTGCGGAGCCGAGTTCGGAGTAGATTGTTGTCCATAGGGCTTGGTCGTAGGCGTCCCGGCGGGACTTTTCAGTAGAGGTTGGTTTGCGGGAGGTGGAGGTTGAGGGGGGTTTTTGTTGGGTGATTGTTGGACTTTCGGTGGAGGAGAGGGATGACGTACTGCCCCTTGTTCTTGTTTTCTTGGTGGTTGTGCCGTTAGGCGTTGAGGATTTGCTTCGAGTTACTTTTGACTTCTCCGGGACGAGGGGACGAGGCATTGTGATGGGCCCGGATATCGGCTCGATTATTTCTGACGCTGCGCGAAGGCCTGACAGATACGCTCCGTGGACGGTTGCTGGATGGGTGCCGCAGGTGGCTTCGCCGGCGAAGTGGAGGTTGCCGATTGACCGCGCCATCAGGTCGTAGTCGTCTGGGAAGGCTTCCGCGGCCACGTAGGAGTAGCTGCCGTATGTGAATGGGTCCTGACCCCAGCGGGTGATGATAGTCTCCAGGGGATCCGGAACTGTAGTGTGTTTGAAGACGTTGCGAAGTTGACCAGTGACCTCCGTAATGATTTCTTCGTCGGACGTAGATTCTGCTTGGTGGGCTGCATCACCAGCCATGAGGGCAATCAAGCATGGGAGCCCGGTAGTCTTCATGACATTCCAGAACAGATAGAATCGGCCGCGGTTTGCCGCATAGTCTTCTTGAACCATAGAAGCAAGGTTATTCGGTTCACGGAGCAGACCAAACATATCTCGCTTGGTGTCCCAGAACGCCTCTTTGAACACCAAAACGACCTTGTTCATTATCCCGAATCCCAGTCTGTCAATTGCGCCACGCTTCCAGTCCGGAAGAGGAGGCTCGAACTTGATTTTCTGTTGTTTCAGGACCCCGAGGGAACCAGTGAAGACGACATGATCTGCCAGGAACTTTTCTCCATCCTCGCACTGGACAACTGCCTTCTGCTTGCTGTTGGACTTAGTTGTGTCGTAAGAAATACCGGTGACGATCTTGCCGGTGCGGACATCAAGCTTTTCTGGCAGCATGTAAAGCCCGTATGGTAATTGTTGGTAGCCACCAATGACCTGAGAATGTTCACCCTCGAACTCGTTTCCGATATCCTGGTCCCATCCCGATAGGCTAAGTCTGTTCACGTTGGTAGCATTCGCATACTCGAGATTGGCGAAATGCCAATTCATCAACCGCATATCCTTCGTTGTCACTGGAAGCATGTTTTGATATTGTTTGACACCCTCGTCCATCACTGCACCCAGAGTCTGCGCCTGAGATACCTTGGCAATCTGGTCCAGTTCGATCGTGTCGTTAACGGTGTATCCTGGGTTAAGCTTCCATCCGGTTGTCTGGCAGGTCAATGCTGCGGGGTCATCTTCCGAATTGCCCGCTAGATCACTTGCCACATCGACGGATGGCTCATTTTCGGCAGTCTTGTGCTTTATTCCTCGTCGAACTCGCTTTGTGGGGACCAATAGATCTATTGTCCCAGCTGCCCTCGCCTCTTCGTACTGCCGCACGGTGAGTCCATCATCCACCGCCGATTCGCGACCAGCATCAATCATGTCGCGGTCTCCCTGGGCGGTTGGCATAATCTTTGCTTTGTGACGATAGAATCCGGTTCGATCGAGCAAATCATTGTAGAGCTTTTCCGCCATCGCATCCTGAACCTCATTCACGGGTGATCCATCAATGTCGTAAATCGTCGAAACATCCCGTATCTTGTGGTAGTGAAGTGCCAGCTGGCCACGAACTATCTGGTCCAGCGGGTTGCCATGATCAAAGCCGACAATGATCTGAGCACCCATTTCCGCCTTTGGAACAAGCCCATCAGGTAGGGTTTCAGACTTGAGACTGTGCAACGGATGCGAATAAATGCGTCCACCTACTCTTCGACGTCCTTCAAGGAGAATGACTCGGGGCATGGCATTTGAGTCACGATATTGGCGGAAAAGGCTCTCCAGTTGACGTGCACACCCCAGACCTGCCATTCCAGCACCGATTACAACGATTGTAGGTCCCTCTTTTCGTCTTCCGCGTTTGGGTTTCACCGGGGCCAATGGAGCCTCCACGCATCCGTGATTAATGTAGCCATTTCGTGCGAGCCAGTCGTAAGCAAACGAAGCCATATTCATCCATCGGTAATCTTTGGCACATCCGAGTGCTTCTTCCCTGGTAACAGCCACCATGGGATTTCTCCCCCAGAGTAGCAGGATTCCATTTCGTATGTTGAGGTAAATCGTGACGTGAACGTGGCAAAGGTGGTCTTGTAAGAATTCTTGTTCTTGTCGGTGGAGAGCATATGGATTCAGCCGCGATGCGTACGCTGCTCTAACGCACTGCCCGCCGTAAACAGAGGGATGGATTTTGGATGGGATGGACGATCGAGGTCGACATTTAGACAAATCAACCTTCCCGCTTTCCAATACATTCGGTCCAAACACAACTGATTGTGTAGGAAGAGGCTGTACGGGAATGGGAGGAGGAGGCGATGCAGATGTTTTTAGTTCAAAGGAAGATGTCAAGTCAGTTGAGGTTGTTGACTCATTCGGAGTACTACTGCTGCCACCGCCATACATCCTCTCCGTTGAGCCAACAATGTGGGATCCATCAGATAGGAAGGTCTGCGAGTTGGGGTTGTTGTGTTCTGGATTTCCCAGGGCAATTGATGCTGAAGCTGCTTCGTAAGCCTTGTGCGTGATTCGCAGTCGCTTTGCAGGAGGTTCAGATAGTGCGGTCGATTGAGATAGATGTTGTTCTTGGCCCTGCATCATGATCTCGGGATTTGGGACATATTGATTCATGTATGACCCTTGATCCGGGGGATTCCAGCCGCCTGGAACCTCATGGACGCTGCACCATACATGTTGATAAACGTGTATCTGCAGGTAGATCGTCAAACGAGTGTGTCGAGAACGACAGAAAGAGAAAAGAAAGAAAATTCCACTTCAAGAAATAGGCTGTTTGTAAACTCGAAGATATGATGTCGACAGTCCTTTCTATCCCGAGAATGTGTGGATATCAAAAATATTCAGGCATTCACCCATGATACGGTCATAGGAATTCGATCTGCGGCAAGCCGAAGGAAGACAAGCTGAACGAATGGATCAACTGGGATTATGTTAGATGAGATGTAATATGGTTAAAAAAGAGACCAAGGGAGTATGAGAGAATAGCACTTGAGATCTGTGAAGAAGACCGAGGAAGCACGGATATCAGGACATACATCGAGTTTCCTCCCCCACAAAAAAACCTCAAGAGTTGAGAATAAGGCCCATGAAATCGAGCAAGAATATTTTGATTTGAAATGAATTAAATGAAATTGTAATTGGATTGTGAACACTTGATGGAAGAGACAGTTGTGATGAGCAGAGTAGAAAAACCCTGGCTTGGTTCCTCGGGGCGGGGCGTATTTCTCAGTCCGGCAGGTTGCGGCAAGTTCGTCAACGACGGCTGTTCTCTAAAATGTTTCTTCACTTTATAAAGATCAAGGATCTACTTTATTTATTTGAGTTATCTAGTTTTGAACATGAGTGTGCAAACCATATGCCTCATCCTCCCCTGCGAACCCATCCGAGTCGTTATCGGTGAACTCATCGTGATATGATCTCCTGGTCGAGTTTTTCCAAGGCCCCGGCTGGTCACTGTCGCTATCGTCACCCAATATCAGGTCAACATTGTCATCGTCCAAATCAGTGAATCCAATTCGCTCTTCTTCGTCTCTTGCAAGCGTAGTAGAGGCTTTGTTCACATCAGGATCTTCCGAGAACCCACGATGAGGGCGGTGCGCTGCATGATCAGCTTGGAGAGAATCCCGGATATCCGCACGCTCTTGGGCTTCGAGCTCTTGTGCGCGAGCCAAAGTTCTGAAAAGAGAAAAAAAAAAAAAGAGATTAGCGATGAGTCCACAAGAGATTAACATCAGATGATTTTAGGGGGCTCAAACCTTTGGTATATATACCACCCGGTAAAGATTCCAATACCGACTGTAAGGATAATACTGCAGATGTTCACGGCTTTGGATCCCGCACTCATCTCCTCGCCCTTCTCGGAGAGCAAACGAATCCGACTACCGATGAATGCAGGGACCAACAATTTGGG